AGTTAGTTTTACTTCCACAGGACCTTTCCAAATGCCAGTTTCCAAATCCTTGTACTGGACCAGAATACCCGGAGTTTTAGTCATATAACCTGAACCCAATGCCTGACCATGTATTATAGCAGGGGAGTCATTAAAGTCTCCTGTCGATCGCAAAAAAAATCGTAAGAGGATTTTAACCCATATGTGGTCACTGCTTGTCAGGCCTCCTTAACTATTTTGAGATCAAAAGCTTCCCACTCTTTAACCCGCTGCTGTGTAGTAAACACAGGATATGCAGAGAGGCCCATTGCAGAAAATTCACCAGCAATAATCGCATCTTTGATTAACCCGCGCCAACAGTGCACAGGATTTGTGCCCCCCGATACCTCTCCCACCCCCTCCCCCTGTTTGCCTTCTTTAAGGAAGGGGTTTTGCAGAGGGTAAGGTGGAGGCGCTGATGGAGATGTCTCAATCCGAGTCTCGAGGGCTTCAAGCTTTTTCATCAATTGCTGCAGCTGAGTGTCTCCAAGGCCAGTGAGTAGTTGCTGATGAGCTGAGCAGACCAACCCGGGAGACGAAGAGTCAGAGTCTGGAAGCAGAGGATATAAATCTGGCTCGGATTCAGGGGACTCGGAGTCTGATCCTGGGTCGAACTCAGGGTCTCCGTTGTTCGCAGCTCTGTCTTTCTTGTCAGGTGTCTCTCGTTCAGTATGTGGCCATCTGCGGACCTGGCTCTTGCTTTCATCGGCTCAGGGCGTTGATTTTTTCGGCGCCGTTCCAGGTACCACAGGAGGTGCAAAAGTCATAGCCGCAGCACTGTGATGGGGGTTAGGAGAGACAGCCCCTTCTGGAGCTGTGGTGGCAAATACAGAAGCTACCGCCGCCCTTTCCAATTTCATCTCTTTCAAAGTCTCAAACACCAGTCTCCAAAGTGTAGAGTGTTTCTGTGCATCTTTGGTCCCTTTACTAACCTTGTGATCATGGGACCACTTTAACGGCCTCTATAAGGCGGCACTATCATATTGCAGTCCTCTCTTAGAGAGAATGTGTTGGAGGAGCTTCACCACCGCCTGTTCCTCTCTGGATAGCAAGTGCCCCATCTCCTCCCCGGCTGCTCACCTGATCAGGGCAAGATTCCCCAAGTTTTGCAGACGTCTGACTTCCCAGTGCCAGGGCAGCGCTGAATTTCGGCTGGCTCTCTGCCCCCTCCTTTTCGTCGGACCTTCAAACTCGTCTTCATCGAGTTACTGATCGGAGGGTCCCTGTTCGGGCGCCATTTGTAAGTGGCGAGGAGAAGCAAGACACGCCAACCCAATATGGGTGATAAGCAAACTTCTACTTTATTTGTGACTCAGTTCACTTATATAGGCGTGGTATTTAGCCATGCCTCCTAGGCACAACAGTATTGGTCAGTTCTACACAGCTTCCTTCACATTCTCCTCCCACATCCGGTTTCCGGTTACCTGTGAGGCCTACCCCTTGCTTTGCTCGCACAAGGCCTCTGAGGATCCATGGCCTTGCTCTTAGAGCCATTCTGCAACACCTGGGGATAGTAAACTGTTGCTTGATTTTGTAAGAAAGAGTCCTACTATAATAATTTACGAGAGGTAACAGTTTACTAAAGGCTTTCACAGCACTCTGTCCCTTCCTACCCATCATGATGATGGTGAGCGAGACCTTTTAAGATTGCAGTTTTCCTCTTAACAGCAGGGGGGTTTTCTGGTGACATTTTGGCAAACCTCGATCTGCAGCCCCTCTAGCAAGGACAGGCAGAGCAATTGCCTGCCAATGTTTGGCCAAGCATGTGAAGCCACCATAATGCCTCATACACCCATGGCTTTGCTTGATCAACAGCTGGTGAAAATTAAGAAACTTCTGGTCCAGACCCAGATGAGATGACCAGGTCTATCTCTCTACATTCACACTGACCAAGAGTTGGCAGTGTTGTTTGTTGCTTTAAAATGTCATCCCAATGGGAAGCAAGTGTTCAGGTATCACTGCAGGAAGTAATCTAATTCTCTTGGATTTTATGAGTAGCCGGATATTAACAACAGGAAGATTTTGAAATTAGGTTGGTTACCTACTCATTCTTTTGTTTAAAACATCTGCTTTTAAAAGTTTCACTTCTGTTAGAACCTGTAGGATAGGCTCAAAGGGTATGGCCCACTGAATGGTAAAAAAGCAATAACACAAGCTACACAGGACCATCCAAGTCCTGAGAACGGAGCACCTCGTATTTGCCTTACCAAAGTTCCAGACAACTAAAATATCACTGAAGTTACACCACAATAAAACAAGAGAAACAGCAGTGAACCAGCCCAAGAATTCTCCCAGATAATTCTTTCCTTTTTCTCTTCCAGTAGCAGAATTATTGGCAGCCACCAGGGATCTTTGCTGTAGTTATCTTTGAAGTGCTAAGCACAAAAGAGCAAATGCTGTAGCAATTCTGTTAAGTCATTCTACTGGATCGCAGGGCTTGTGGGTGGGATTCTCCCAAGTGAAAAATACGGTAATGCCACAAGACTAAGTCTTTGCTATCTCTTGGAATTTTAGTAACAGCTAGAGAATTTTCTGCTGGCACCTGAATCTTTACTAGCAATAAGCAAATTAAACAACCAAGCCTCAGTTCTGCAGCTTTTCTCCTCATATGATGCTTACTAAAACACATGTGGTGAGCAGATTCACAAGTGGATTCTAGCATTTTCAGGCAAAAATGCCTAAATTCAGGTTCAGAAATCCATATGTAAATTTTTTAACAAGGTCATGGTCATTTTCCAATTTTGTTGAGATATTAAATATTGTAAATGCTGAAGATTTTGGAGGAAAAACCCACCAACAACCAAAAAACCCAAACCAAAACCCCGACAACAGAACAAGCCAATCTGATTTATGCAGGTCTTTAATCTGAATTGGGGTCTGCCTTAAGATCATTTTCTAGAATTGTCCATTGTAGGCATCAGGACTAGTTCTGTGAAGGTTAAAAGAGGCATGATCTGGCAGTCCTGATGTTTTCTCAGATGATCCTAGTTCTCTGGAGCTAAAATACAATCAAGAGAGCCGATTAAGATGATGTATGTATAGCTAATGAAGATGTCTTCTATTCTGTCGAGTTTGGAAAGTTATCCCACAGACTGATGTGGGGTATCCCCACTGGAAGCACACTATATCCGTTCATCTTAACAAAGTGGTCCATCGCTGATGACGTGGCATAACTTATTTTAAACCCTGCCTGTACTAAATAATTTAATCTTCAGAAAAGTCAAGGAAGAAAATAAACGTAGATTGAAAAAGTATGAAGAAAGACTAGCAAAATCACAGCCATTCTAACTTGGCAAGCAAGAGCTTGGCAACTTGTGTAAGTTACAGTGATTGCATAGATGCATAAGTTGTGCCAGCTTGTCTGCACACACAGCATATAATATCCACATCCAGAAACGTTGTGTTCCAGCCCAAGGATTCTTCATTTAAAGTAGACAGTGACTGAGTTGCACAGTTCTGCTTGTGGCTGTCTTCTCTAGTGTTTGAGCATATTTTTAAGCCACATGATCTGTTCAGGAGAGCCAAAACTATATGTATTAATGACAGTTGCAGAACTGGGTGTGAGAGAGCTAGACAGCCTGATGGCTTGAAAAAATTGAAGCATGGAGACAGTAAAGAGACATAGTTATCAGGACAAGGACTTATGCTTGTATTAGAATAGCCTGTGCATCAGGGAATGTGTAATTCTGCCACAGTGTCCTCTACTGGCTAAGCCCGAATCTCTGAAAATGATGATGCATTCATGCTGCTTTCATTATTCTGTGCCCAATTTAATACATGTCAAGAGAATCATGCTCTCGACAGTCAATCACCTTAACCTCATCTCTGTCTGCCCTTAATACTTTTAAAAACCAAGAAAGCAAAATCTTTATGGACTATAACGTCTTCATGATGTTTACTCTCCAGGTCATAAGACCTCTGTCAGAATCAAGGAAGAGTTTCAAGATGGGAAATTTAAATAAATTTAACGGCAATTAATGAATTTCTAATTACTGCCTCTGAAACTAAAAAACAAACAAAGAAAGTATGTAAGGAAAAACACCACAGCTCTTGTACATCTCTGCTCATGTACATCTCTGCTCTTTCTGGTCTCCAATAACCTCACTGTGGGCTACACTCAGTTTCTCTGGGGACATGAGGGCTGGTGCAGGAGATTGGGGTCAGCAGATGGTGGCTGCTTTTCTTTTTCCACTCCTTGCTTTGAGTTCAGTTGCCCCAGGTTAGGTTCCTCTAGCATCTGCTGACCCACAAGAGTCAAGCCTTCTCCTCTCTGCCTTTGCTTGGTCAGCTTTTCTTCCTCTAGCCCCTACTCAGGATCATATTTTGCTTCATCATTTCTCCTGCTCTGCCATCTCTTCTTTCTCCTCTTGCTCTGGTGTGGTCTTCTCTGTCTTTCTCTTCTACTGCTTCTTCTCAGCATTTACCACTCTTTCTTAAACATGTTCACAGTGCGGTCTGTGGCCTCCTCCCACAGAGACCACCCCATAGCCACACCCTGTCAAAACCCTGCCAATTCTGCCCCATAAACACCTCAATCCCCAATTGGTAACAAAAAAACAAACAAACAAAAAAAACGAAAAATCTGTCCAACTTCTAGTTCTACATTTTTCTGGGGATTTTCTCCTTCACAAAAGTCTTTACATGTCTGAATATGACCATTTCTGGTATCTTTGGAAAGATCAGCCTGATGAGATCTGAGACCCTGGAACAAGTTGCCCAGGGAAGCTGTGGATTCTCCATCCCTGGAAGTGTTCAAGGCAAGGTTGGACAGGGCTTTAAGCAACTTGGTCTAGTGAGAGGTGGCGGGGTTTAGAACTAGATGGCCTTTAAGGTCCCTTCCAACCCAACCCATTCTATGATTCTGTGAATCTAAATGAAAGCATGCCTTTCTACAGCTAGCCCATGCACATCCCCTGGGTGTGCTGCCCCAGAGAGCTTCAGCTTGCAGGCTGACTGCTCTGTGCTCTGTATGGCTCCTGCAGACATCAATAACCAGTATGCTGCTTTCAGGTTCTGGACAACAGCTGAGACCAGCTGAGCCTCTAGGAGATGGTGATGCGGATGCAGAGGATGAAGATTCTGTGAGTTTTATACAGTTAGGTGTATGGGGGGGGGGGAGATTGGCAGTTACTTTGGGGGGGGAGGTTGGCAGTTACTTTGCTAAAATGGGATCTTAAATATTTTGTTTATAGCTGGGTCTTGCTGGTGATTTCTCCCCCCATCAAAAATGCTTTATTTTTGCTTGGAATGCTTCTGCCAGCTCAAAAGCCAGAATGATGCTCCAATGTAAAGTGATCTGCGCTTTGCCATGATTCACCAACATACGTTTAATACCAAGACTTAACAAACTATTACATGCAATTACATTACTGTTGACTACAGTAACTTTTCTTTAAAGCTTTAGCTGGTTTGGGTTCCCTGTCATTTGACTTCAGAAGGAAGCATGTCAAGTGCTTGTCAGCAGAAATTCCTGACGGGACTCTTCCGACATTTGCGTAGTTTTAGAGGGCAGTAGAGTTTGAAGCTGCAGGATGGGAAAGTTAGGTGTACAAATAAAGCAGAGGAGAGAATTTTTATTGCCTTTTAAAATTTTTACTAGTTGATCTGTCGGTATTTTCAGTCTGTTCAGCCCACAGATGCATACAATACAGAATGAAAACCAAAATCAGCACACCATTGTTTTTGTTTCCCAGAAGTCTCTGTGTTCTTGGGTAACATCATTAAATGAGAGATGTATTTGTTCTTAATCTAAGAAAAGAGTTACTGGTTATTCTACATTCATCATTATTAATGAGAGATTTGTACAAAGAAGGAGACTATGCCTAAATAAAAACCTCTCCTAAAAAAAATTCGTCACTGTTTAATAGTTTACGTTCCATTCCCTCCACTCATTTCTTTTGCACAGGTTAATGAAGTGGCAGTAGAAGACATCCGTCCAAGGCCACAAGGATCCTCTCCAGTTTATGAATATCCCATAGAAGAAGAATATTTAAAGGCAAGACAAATAAATGAAAAAAATGTATGTTCACAAAGATCAAAGCATAGAAATATGCTACATGAGTTTCATACAGAAAAGCTCCCAAATGTATTAATATAATTGGCCTCTGGCATTCATTAATGCAAATTTTGGTACAATGCGTGGAGGTCTTAGCATCTCATTTACTACTGGGAATAATATAGTTAAATAATTCATGTTGTATGTTGCACTTGTAGATGCCAGTTTTGCTTTGTTGCCAGTAAAGTCAGCCTGAGTTCTTAGTGTAAACCAGGAATTTTAACTGATTTTTGGACTTTTGTTCTACTTTACAACAGCATGACTTCTGAATGCTAAATAATTGCAAATTGGTTTTCAGCTTCAAGAAGAAAAAAAGAAGTATTCTACAGATAAATCAAAACAGAGTCATCCAGAGGTTGGTATAATAGCACTCTGTAGTTTTAGGCATGTGGCTTGCAAAATATTAAGGTCTATTACAACACACAGATGTGGATGGGTGGACAGAGAGAAAGACAAATGGGGAGAGAATCACTTTAGACTTGTTTTGACCAGGAACTTCACAAATTGCCTAGTTGTGGAACAGACATGAACACTTGTCCTATTGCGATATTTTCATAATCCTTTTTAGTATTCTTTGGCCTTCTCTGGTTTGAGTATAGTACAGAATTAGCTCTTAGTCTGACTTTTCTGGCCCATTTATTCTAATTCAGATTTAACATCTTCACAGAAAATACAATCTTTCAGCCCTAAAAGATTCTATATGTATCACATTTTAAAATTGTAATTTATTTTCCTTATACCCCTGATCTAGCATAACCCTAACACGTGTTTAGCTCTAATGTAGAAGAGAATCAAACCTTCAATGAACAAGTACATTCTCTATTTTAGATAATCTTTATTGAGCTACTAAAAATATACTTAGGAGATTCATTTTTTATACTAACATAGAACACTGATACAAATGAATAAAAATTATAAATTCACATCTTTTTCTGTATCTAGGAGACAATGGAAGTGACCCTGAAAACAGAAGTGGAAGCTGGTGCTAGTGGTTTTAGTGTGATAGGTGGAGAAAATGAAGGAATATTTATTAAAAAAGTACTGAAAGAGTCTCCTGCTTCAAAAATATTTAGCCTGAGAGAAGGTACAGTCTGATTTTCTGTTTTTTTTTTTGGTGTTTGTTTTTTGTTTTTTTTTTTAATATATTTTAAAATAATCAGGTGTGTAGCTGTGTGTGCGTATAGATGCCTACCTGATCTCCCATCTCTTTGGGTAATAGAAATAGTAGATCCTAAACCAACTAATGTTATGTGTGAGCTTAACCTTTCCATATTAATAATTTCAAAGATCAGTTTCTTAATAATGTGATTTTTTTTTATACCATGAAAAAAAAAAACACCAAATTTTTACTGAGAGTGAAAAAGATACATAGAAATTAATATATACACAACTAAAATGAAAAAAAAACAAACCCCAACAACCCAAATCATAACATTCATGAAGAACCTACCTTCAATTCTTTCACAAAATAATATGCCACAAAACTACAATAAATAATGATTTAAACAAAAACAAAAGTCCAAAGTCTAAGTATTGAAAAATGTAATAAAAAACTGTTACTATCATGGTGTTCAGTCACTGGATCAAGATTTCTAGGAAGGTTGTAAGTTACCATCCTTGGGAATATTCAAAACCTGACTGCACACAGACCTAAGCAACTGGCTGTAGCTAACTGTTCCCTGAGCAGGGCAGCTGGACTAGATGATCTCCAGAGGTCCTTTTCAGAGGACTTAGCTATTCTGTGATTCTCTTATGTGAACATAATTTTATACTCTAAATAAATAGGATGTGATTTTTTTTGTGTGAATTAATTCAACAGAATTTGAAAAACTGCATAAAATGATGTTTGATTCCACTTGCAGGTGATCAGCTTCTAAGTGCTACGATATTTTTCGATAATATCAAGTATGAAGATGCACTCAAGATTCTCCAGTATTCCGAGCCATACAGAGTCCAATTCAGCCTCAAAAGAAAAATTGCTGGGAAAGAAGAGTTAGAACACACTCACTCTACAGCCCAGTACAAAAAGGAAAGAAGAAACCAGGTAGATAATTGATCAGTTTAAAAAAATTGGCTAACACTTTAGTAATGTAGAAATAGACCAGAAAATACACACTGAGATATAATGCTTAATAATAATACTTAGATATGTGCTTAAACTCACTAGCATGAATGTTCATGAGAAGAAAAAATTCCCACATAATATTTGCAGCTTTTTTAATATCCGAGGAAAGCTAGAGGTTTTCGATAAAGTCACAATCTTGTGCTAGGGTGGAAAAAACATTCTCTAGTGAGGAACCATTTTTTGTTGTTGTTAAATGTCCATTGATAGAACAGGCTGAGATAAGTTCTCTAATATTTATATTCAGTATTGTCCAAAATGTAAAATAACAGTAAATATTTTTCTCAGAAGCTCATAAATTATTTTTTTTTCTTAAAAGTGTGTTTAGCCACTGGTATCTGTTTAGGCATGATCTGCTCATAGCTTCCATCACACTCAAAATTATTTTTCTCTTCATATACATATAAATGTTATATATATATATTTGTACAGACATACATAAAGATACATCTAGAAACCTCTATTTACTGCAATGTTTTGCGAAGAACGTAACCTTCAGAAATCCATATATTACAGGCATATAATCCATTTTTAAAATGTAATTTCTGCCTGAATTATATACAACATTCTCATGTATTTTATATATATTTCACTTTTTTTATATAACAACCAGATACTGTGAATAAAAAGTACATCTATGTATTGTATAATATGTATTTTATTTCATGTCGAATCTATATTTAGTTTAGTTTTAATCTTCTGATTACTAATTATTCTTTCAGCAAAAAGAACTCAGTGACAGCATTCCTGAAGAAACACTGCATGTTTCAGGAAAAGACATTTCAGAAGAAGACAGGGAAACATTAATTGTAAGCCAAAGGGTAGGAAGAAGCAAGAGACCTAAAAAAGATAGATTGTCATGGCCAAAATTCCAGTCAATCAAAAGTAAAAAGATACTGGGGCACAGGAGATCTCATAGTACGTCAGATGCATATGAGTCTGGTATACAGGATATTTCCCCTACAAGCACAGACACAGAGTCTCAATTTCAACAAGAAGTCCACATCAGAGAAAAAAAAGGAAGCCAAAAGAAACTGAAGTTCCCAAGCATTGGATTCAAAATGCAGAGATCCAAACCAGAACCTCAAGACAGGCCAAAAAAAGAAATAAAAACTACGCTGTTAAATGAAAGAGAGAAAATACATAAAGAAGATATCAGCCTGGAAAATCCTGAAATTGTAACTGTTGAATATACCACATTGCCTGCTTACAAAACTAAAACAGCAGAGGTACATGAAACTTTAACAAAAGACTTAAATGATATGCAAAATGGCATTCCATCTTATGCAAAAAAGTGCCCTGAAGTAGAAATAAGCATTAAAAAAGACAAGGACTCAACATCAAAATTTACTGTACCTGAAGTATCAGCTATAACAACACAGATATCAAAGCCCAGTTTAGAAACACCTGATCTGAAAGAAAGCCCAACTAAACAAGTACTAACAGCCTCCTCAAAATCCCGAAAAAAGAAACAGAAAGTAATAGCAGATAAAACAGAAGAAGAAATTGGAATTAACATAGACATGATGGGACACAGAGCACAAGAATCTATACAGGTAAAAGGTCTAGAAACAGCTGCTAGAGCAGAATTACACACAACTGACACACTGGAAACAAATGAAAAACAAGCAGAAGACACACAAATATTGACAATTAAGCAACCAAAATTTGAGATTTCAATGACCAAATTAAAAGAAGCAGAGACTAAAAAGACCAAACTGGGAAGTGATTTTCCACATACAGTACCAGAAAGAACAGCTGATATGAGTTCAGAGGACAGCAGAAATTTGGGAATGAAAACTAACATGCCTGATGCAGAATCAGAACTTTCTACTTGGAAAATACAAATGCCGTCATTAAAAATTAAAAAAACACCGAAAACTGACAGGAAAATACCAAGAGAAGAAAGCACAACAGAACCAGCAGATACTGTGCTGAAGGCACGGATTGAAGATGGAATGCCAACAAGTGATAAAACATCGAAAATGGACTTCAGCATGAAAACAGGAGAAAAAGATATGGATGGAAAAGACAGTAAATTCAGACTGCCAAAATTTAAAATGCCTACATTTACATGGGCAACTGCAAAAGATGAGAAAGAGCAAACAGAATGTCATGTAAGAGACAATGAAGGAAAATTAGTAACTGTAAATGCAGGACCAAAACAAGAGGTGAGTGCATCAGAAGAAGAAATGACGGTTCCAAGTGCTGAAAATGAAATAACGAACTTAAAAGGAAAAACAAAAGATGATAAGGATATAAGACAAAGGCCAGAACTACAGGTGGCAACTCTAGAAAATCAAGCTGTAAAAACCTCTTATATAAAGAATCACATTGAGGAGAAAGAAGAAGATATAATGACTAAAAAATCTGATCTTCAAATAAAAAAAGCTGAATTAAGTATAACAACACAGAAATCAGTAGAAACAAATAAGACTAAGTCAGCAAGCGTCAAAGCTCCCAAGGTGGACATCAGCCTCCCATCTGTCGACGTCACCCTTCCAAAGGCCAGCGTTGAGCTGCAGGCGCCCGAGGCAGCCCTCAGCCTCGAAGGAGAAGCCAAAGCCCCTGAGAAGGAGGCCGTGAAGACCAAGGACGGCAAGTTCAAGATGCCCAAGTTCGGCATGCCGTCCTTCGGCTGGTCCAGCAGCAGAGAGGCCAAGGGCACCGTGGCCGCTGACGTGGACGTCAGCCTCAAGGAGCCCCACGTGACGGTGCCCTCGGGAAGCGCCGAGGTCGACGTGAGCCTGCCCGCGGCCGAGATCCAAGCGCCCGGTGTGGAGGTGACAGTCGAGACGGGCGCCGCAGGGGACGGTGAGAAAAGCCGATTTAAGATGCCCGACGTCAAGATGCCCAGCGTCAAGCTGCCCAAAGTCAAAGCTCCCCACGTGCAGGTCAGCCTGCCAAAGGGCGAGGCCTCGCTTCCCAAGGCTCAGGCCGATGTCCCGGAGGGTGAAGGCGCCGTGCAGGGTCCTGATGCCGAAAGCGGCCTGGAGGTGGCTGCCGGCAAAGTTGAGAGCGGCGGCATGAAAATACACATGCCGAAAGTCAAGGTGCCCAGCGTCGTCTTCTCCAAGCCGACCGTCAAGGCTCCCAAACTGGACGCAGACGTCTCACTGGACAAAGTCGACGTCAGCCTCCCGGAGGCTGGCCTCAAGGCTGGCGACATCAGCGTCACGGCCACCGACATCAGGCTACCCTCCGTGGAAGGCTCCGTTGAGCTCCAGGCGCCTGACATAGACCTGAAAGCCCCCTCTGCCGAAGGCTCCCTAGACACGGCCGAGCTGGAAACCACGGGCCTGAAAGGGAAGTTAAAGATGCCCAAGTTCGACAAGCCCAAATTCGGAGTGTCGCCCCCCAAGGCGGAGGCGCTCGAAGGCCAGCTCAGCCTGCCCACCGCACAGGTCGACCTCCCGTCCGCCACAGTGACGGCCGCAGGGGAGGGCACCGCGCTGGGCCTCAAAGCAGACATCCCCAGCGGCAAAAGCGAAGGGGCCGGCTGGAAGCTGGAGAAGCCCTCCCTCAAAATGCCCAAAGCGGACATCAAAGCTCCCAAGGCGGACATCAGCCTCCCATCTGTCGACGTCACCCTTCCAAAGGCCAGCGTTGAGCTGCAGGCGCCCGAGGCAGCCCTCAGCCTCGAAGGAGAAGCCAAAGCCCCAGAGAAGGAGGCCGTGAAGACCAAGGACGGCAAGTTCAAGATGCCCAAGTTCGGCATGCCGTCCTTCGGCTGGTCCAGCAGCAGAGAGGCCAAGGGCACCGTGGCCGCTGACGTGGACGTCAGCCTCAAGGAGCCCCACGTGACGGTGCCCTCGGGAAGCGCCGAAGTCGACGTGAGCCTGCCCGCGGCCGAGATCCAAGCGCCCGGTGTGGAGGTGACAGTCGAGACGGGCGCCGCAGGGGACGGTGAGAAAGGCCGATTTAAGATGCCCGACGTCAAGATGCCCAGCGTCAAGCTGCCCAAAGTCAAAGCTCCCCACGTGCAGGTCAGCCTGCCAAAGGGCGAGGCCTCGCTTCCCAAGGCTCAGGCCGATGTCCCGGAGGGCGAAGGCGCCGTGCAGGGTCCTGATGCCGAAAGCGGCCTGGAGGTGGCTGCCGGCAAAGTTGAGAGCGGCGGCATGAAAATACACATGCCGAAAGTCAAGGTGCCCAGCGTCGTCTTCTCCAAGCCGACCGTCAAGGCTCCCAAACTGGACGCAGACGTCTCACTGGACAAAGTCGACGTCAGCCTCCCGGAGGCTGGCCTCAAGGCTGGCGACATAAGCGTCACGGCCGCCGACATCAGGCTGCCCTCCGTGGAAGGCTCCGTTGAGCTCCAGGCGCCTGACATAGACCTGAAAGCCCCCTCTGCCGAAGGCTCCCTCGACGCGGCCGAGCTGGAAACCACGGGCCTGAAAGGGAAGTTAAAGATGCCCAAGTTCGACAAGCCCAAATTCGGAGTGTCGCCCCCCAAGGCGGAGGCGCTCGAAGGCCAGTTCAGCCTGCCCACCGCACAGGTCGACCTCCCGTCCGCCACAGTGACGGCCGCAGGGGAGGGCACCGCGCTGGGCCTCAAAGCCGACGTCCCCAGCGGCAAAAGCGAAGGGGCCGGCTGGAAGCTGGAGAAGCCCTCCCTCAAAATGCCCAAAGCGGACATCAAAGCTCCCAAGGCGGACATCAGCCTCCCATCTGTCGACGTCACCCTTCCAAAGGCCAGCGTTGAGCTGCAGGCGCCCGAGGCAGCCCTCAGCCTCGAAGGAGAAGCCAAAGCCCCAGAGAAGGAGGCCGTGAAGACCAAGGACGGCAAGTTCAAGATGCCCAAGTTCGGCATGCCGTCCTTCGGCTGGTCCAGCAGCAGAGAGGCCAAGGGCACCGTGGCCGCTGACGTGGACGTCAGCCTCAAGGAGCCCCACGTGACGGTGCCCTCGGGAAGCGCCGAGGTCGACGTGAGCCTGCCCGCGGCCGAGATCCAAGCGCCCGGTGTGGAGGTGACAGTCGAGACGGGCGCCGCAGGGGACGGTGAGAAAGGCCGATTTAAGATGCCCGACGTCAAGATGCCCAGCGTCAAGCTGCCCAAAGTCAAAGCTCCCCACGTGCAGGTCAGCCTGCCAAAGGGCGAGGCCTCGCTTCCCAAGGCTCAGGCCGATGTCCCGGAGGGCGAAGGCGCCGTGCAGGGTCCTGATGCCGAAAGCGGCCTGGAGGTGGCTGCCGGCAAAGTTGAGAGCGGCGGCATGAAAATACACATGCCGAAAGTCAAGGTGCCCAGCGTCGTCTTCTCCAAGCCGACCGTCAAGGCTCCCAAACTGGACGCAGATGTCTCACTGGACAAAGTCGACGTCAGCCTCCCGGAGGCTGGCCTCAAGGCTGGCGACATCAGCGTCACGGCCGCCAACATCAGGCTGCCCTCCGTGGAAGGCTCCGTTGAGCTCCAGGCGCCTGACATAGACCTGAAAGCCCCCTCTGCCGAAGGCTCCCTCGACGCGGCCGAGCTGGAAACCACGGGCCTGAAAGGGAAGTTAAAGATGCCCAAGTTCGACAAGCCCAAATTCGGAGTGTCGCCCCCCAAGGCGGAGGCGCTCGAAGGCCAGCTCAGCCTGCCCACCGCACAGGTCGACCTCCCGTCCGCCACAGTGACGGCCGCAGGGGAGGGCACCGCGCTGGGCCTCAAAGCCGACATCCCCAGCGGCAAAAGCGAAGGGGCCGGCTGGAAGCTGGAGAAGCCCTCCCTCAAAATGCCCAAAGCGGACATCAAAGCTCCCAAGGCGGACATCAGCCTCCCATCTGTCGACGTCACCCTTCCAAAGGCCAGCGTTGAGCTGCAGGCGCCCGAGGCAGCCCTCAGCCTCGAAGGAGAAGCCAAAGCCCCAGAGAAGGAGGCCGTGAAGACCAAGGACGGCAAGTTCAAGATGCCCAAGTTCGGCATGCCGTCCTTCGGCTGGTCCAGCAGCAGAGAGGCCAAGGGCACCGTGGCCGCTGACGTGGACGTCAGCCTCAAGGAGCCCCACGTGACGGTGCCCTCGGGAAGCGCCGAGGTCGACGTGAGCCTGCCCGCGGCCGAGATCCAAGCGCCCGGTGTGGAGGTGACAGTCGAGACGGGCGCCGCAGGGGACGGTGAGAAAGGCCGATTTAAGATGCCCGACGTCAAGATGCCCAGCGTCAAGCTGCCCAAAGTCAAAGCTCCCCACGTGCAGGTCAGCCTGCCAAAGGGCGAGGCCTCGCTTCCCAAGGCTCAGGCCGATGTCCCGGAGGGTGAAGGCGCCGTGCAGGGTCCTGATGCCGAAAGCGGCCTGGAGGTGGCTGCCGGCAAAGTTGAGAGCGGCGGCATGAAAATACACATGCCGAAAGTCAAGGTGCCCAGCGTCGTCTTCTCCAAGCCGACCGTCAAGGCTCCCAAACTGGACGCAGATGTCTCACTGGACAAAGTCGACGTCAGCCTCCCGGAGGCTGGCCTCAAGGCTGGCGACATCAGCGTCACGGCCGCCGACATCAGGCTGCCCTCCGTGGAAGGCTCCGTTGAGCTCCAGGCGCCTGACATAGACCTGAAAGCCCCCTCTGCCGAAGGCTCCCTCGACGCGGCCGAGCTGGAAACCACGGGCCTGAAAGGGAAGTTAAAGATGCCCAAGTTCGACAAGCCCAAATTCGGAGTGTCGCCCCCCAAGGTGGAGGCGCTCGAAGGCCAGCTCAGCCTGCCCACCGCACAGGTCGACCTCCCGTCCGCCACAGTGACGGCCGCAGGGGAGGGCACCGCGCTGGGCCTCAAAGCCGACGTCCCCAGCGGCAAAAGCGAAGGGGCCGGCTGGAAGCTGGAGAAGCCCTCCCTCAAAATGCCCAAAGCGGACATCAAAGCTCCCAAGGCGGACATCAGCCTCCCATCTGTCGACGTCACCCTTCCAAAGGCCAGCGTTGAGCTGCAGGCGCCCGAGGCAGCCCTCAGCCTCGAAGGAGAAGCCAAAGCCCCAGAGAAGGAGGCCGTGAAGACCAAGGACGGCAAGTTCAAGATGCCCAAGTTCGGCATGCCGTCCTTCGGCTGGTCCAGCAGCAGAGAGGCCAAGGGCACCGTGGCCGCTGACGTGGACGTCAGCCTCAAGGAGCCCCACGTGACGGTGCCCTCGGGAAGCGCCGAGGTCGACGTGAGCCTGCCCGCGGCCGAGATCCAAGCGCCCGGTGTGGAGGTGACAGTCGAGACGGGCGCCGCAGGGGACGGTGAGAAAGGCCGATTTAAGATGCCCGACGTCAAGATGCCCAGCGTCAAGCTGCCCAAAGTCAAAGCTCCCCACGTGCAGGTCAGCCTGCCAAAGGGCGAGGCCTCGCTTCCCAAGGCTCAGGCCGATGTCCCGGAGGGCGAAGGCGCCGTGCAGGGTCCTGATGCCGAAAGCGGCCTGGAGGCGGCTGCCGGCAAAGTTGAGAGCGGCGGCATGAAAATACACATGCCGAAAGTCAAGGTGCCCAGCGTCGTCTTCTCCAAGCCGACCGTCAAGGCTCCCAAACTGGACGCAGACGTCTCACTGGACAAAGTCGACGTCAGCCTCCCGGAGGCTGGCCTCAAGGCTGGCGACATAAGCGTCACGGCCGCCAACATCAGGCTGCCCTCCGTGGAAGGCTCCGTTGAGCTCCAGGCGCCTGACATAGACCTGAAAGCCCCCTCTGCCGAAGGCTCCCTAGACACGGCCGAGCTGGAAACCACGGGCCTGAAAGGGAAGTTAAAGATGCCCAAGTTCGACAAGCCCAAATTCGGAGTGTCGCCCCCCAAGGCGGAGGCGCTCGAAGGCCAGCTCAGCCTGCCCACCGCACAGGTCGACCTCCCGTCCGCCACAGTGACGGCCGCAGGGGAGGGCACCGCGCTGGGCCTCAAAGCCGACATCCCCAGCGGCAAAAGCGAAGGGGCCGGCTGGAAGCTGGAGAAGCCCTCCCTCAAAATGCCCAAAGCGGACATCAAAGCTCCCAAGGCGGACATCAGCCTCCCATCTGTCGACGTCACCCTTCCAAAGGCCAGCGTTGAGCTGCAGGCGCCCGAGGCAGCCCTCAGCCTCGAAGGAGAAGCCAAAGCCCCAGAGAAGGAGGCCGTGAAGACCAAGGACGGCAAGTTCAAGATGCCCAAGTTCGGCATGCCGTCCTTCGGCTGGTCCAGCAGCAGAGAGGCCAAGGGCACCGTGGCCGCTGACGTGGACGTCAGCCTCAAGGAGCCCCACGTGACGGTGCCCTCGGGAAGCGCCGAGGTCGACGTGAGCCTGCCCGCGGCCGAGATCCAAGCGCCCGGTGTGGAGGTGACAGTCGAGACGGGCGCCGCAGGGGACGGTGAGAAAGGCCGATTTAAGATGCCCGACGTCAAGATGCCCAGCGTCAAGCTGCCCAAAGTCAAAGCTCCCCACGTGCAGGTCAGCCTGCCAAAGGGCGAGGCCTCGCTTCCCAAGGCTCAGGCCGATGTCCCGGAGGGCGAAGGCGCCGTGCAGGGTCCTGATGCCGAAAGCGGCCTGGAGGTGGCTGCCGGCAAAGTTGAGAGCGGCGGCATGAAAATACACATGCCGAAAGTCAAGGTGCCCAGCGTCGTCTTCTCCAAGCCGACCGTCAAGGCTCCCAAACTGGACGCAGATGTCTCACTGGACAAAGTCGACGTCAGCCTCCCGGAGGCTGGCCTCAAGGCTGGCGACATCAGCGTCACGGCCGCCAACATCAGGCTGCCCTCCGTGGAAGGCTCCGTTGAGCTCCAGGCGCCTGACATAGACCTGAAAGCCCCCTCTGCCGAAGGCTCCCTCGACGCGGCCAAGCTGGAAACCACGGGCCTGAAAGGGAAGTTAAAGATGCCCAAGTTCGACAAGCCCAAATTCGGAGTGTCGCCCCCCAAGGCGGAGGCGCTCGAAGGCCAGCTCAGCCTGCCCACCGCACAGGTCGACCTCCCGTCCGCCACAGTGACGGCCGCAGGGGAGGGCACCGCGCTGGGCCTCAAAGCCGACGTCCCCAGCGGCAAAAGCGAAGGGGCCGGCTGGAAGCTGGAGAAGCCCTCCCTCAAAATGCCCAAAGCGGACATCAAAGCTCCCAAGGCGGACATCAGCCTCCCATCTGTCGACGTCACCCTTCCAAAGGCCAGCGTTGAGCTGCAGGCGCCCGAGGCAGCCCTCAGCCTCGAAGGAGAAGCCAAAGCCCCAGAGAAGGAGGCCGTGAAGACCAAGGACGGCAAGTTCAAGATGCCCAAGTTCGGCATGCCGTCCTTCGGCTGGTCCAGCAGCAGAGAGGCCAAGGGCACCGTGGCCGCTGACGTGGACGTCAGCCTCAAGGAGCCCCACGTGACGGTGCCCTCGGGAAGCGCCGAGGTCGACGTGAGCCTGCCCGCGGCCGAGATCCAAGCGCCCGGTGTGGAGGTGACAGTCGAGACGGGCGCCGCAGGGGACGGTGAGAAAGGCCGATTTAAGATGCCCGACGTCAAGATGCCCAGCGTCAAGCTGCCCAAAGTCAAAGCTCCCCACGTGCAGGTCAGCCTGCCAAAGGGCGAGGCCTCGCTTCCCAAGGCTCAGGCCGATGTCCCGGAGGGCGAAGGCGCCGTGCAGGGTCCTGATGCCGAAAGCGGCCTGGAGGTGGCTGCCGGCAAAGTTGAGAGCGGCGGCATGAAAATACACATGCCGAAAGTCAAGGTGCCCAGCGTCGTCTTCTCCAAGCCGACCGTCAAGGCTCCCAAACTGGACGCAGACGTCTCACTGGACAAAGTCGACGTCAGCCTCCCGGAGGCTGGCCTCAAGGCTGGCGACATAAGCGTCACGGCCGCCAACATCAGGCTGCCCTCCGTGGAAGGCTCCGTTGAGCTCCAGGCGCCTGACATAGACCTGAAAGCCCCCTCTGCCGAAGGCTCCCTCGACGCGGCCGAGCTGGAAACCACGGGCCTGAAAGGGAAGTTAAAGATGCCCAAGTTCGACAAGCCCAAATTCGGAGTGTCGCCCCCCAAGGCGGAGGCGCTCGAAGGCCAGTTCAGCCTGCCCACCGCACAGGTCGACCTCCCGTCCGCCACAGTGACGGCCGCAGGGGAGGGCACCGCGCTGGGCCTCAAAGCCGACGTCCCCAGCGGCAAAAGCGAAGGGGCCGGCTGGAAGCTGGAGAAGCCCTCCCTCAAAATGCCCAAAGCGGACATCAAAGCTCCCAAGGCGGACATCAGCCTCCCATCTGTCGACGTCACCCTTCCAAAGGCCAGCGTTGAGCTGCAGGCGCCCGAGGCAGCCCTCAGCCTCGAAGGAGAAGCCAAAGCCCCAGAGAAGGAGGCCGTGAAGACCAAGGACGGCAAGTTCAAGATGCCCAAGTTCGGCATGCCGTCCTTCGGCTGGTCCAGCAGCAGAGAGGCCAAGGGCACCGTGGCCGCTGACGTGGACGTCAGCCTCAAGGAGCCCCACGTGACGGTGCCCTCGGGAAGCGCCGAGGTCGACGTGAGCCTGCCCGCGGCCGAGATCCAAGCGCCCGGTGTGGAGGTGACAGTCGAGACGGGCGCCGCAGGGGACGGTGAGAAAGGCCGATTTAAGATGCCCGACGTCAAGATGCCCAGCGTCAAGCTGCCCAAAGTCAAAGCTCCCCACGTGCAGGTCAGCCTGCCAAAGGGCGAGGCCTCGCTTCCCAAGGCTCAGGCCGATGTCCCGGAGGGCGAAGGCGCCGTGCAGGGTCCTGATGCCGAAAGCGGCCTGGAGGTGGCTGCCGGCAAAGTTGAGAGCGGCGGCATGAAAATACACATGCCGAAAGTCAAGTTGCCCAGCGTCGTCTTCTCCAAGCCGACCGTCAAGGCTCCCAAACTGGACGCAGACGTCTCACTGGACAAAGTCGACGTCAGCCTCCCGGAGGCTGGCCTCAAGGCTGGCGACATCAGCGTCACGGCCGCCGACATCAGGCTGCCCTCCGTGGAAGGCTCCGTTGAGCTCCAGGCGCCTGACATAGACCTGAAAGCCCCCTCTGCCGAAGGCTCCCTCGACGCGGCCGAGCTGGAAACCACGGGCCTGAAAGGGAAGTTAAAGATGCCCAAGTTCGACAAGCCCAAATTCGGAGTGTCGCCCCCCAAGGCGGAGGCGCTCGAAGGCCAGCTCAGCCTGCCCACCGCACAGGTCGACCTCCCGTCCGCCACAGTGACGGCCGCAGGGGAGGGCACCGCGCTGGGCCTCAAAGCCGACATCCCCAGCGGCAAAAGCGAAGGGGCCGGCTGGAAGCTGGAGAAGCCCTCCCTCAAAATGCCCAAAGCGGACATCAAAGCTCCCAAGGCGGACATCAGCCTCCCATCTGTCGACGTCACCCTTCCAAAGGCCAGCGTTGAGCTGCAGGCGCCCGAGGCAGCCCTCAGCCTCGAAGGAGAAGCCAAAGCCCCAGAGAAGGAGGCCGTGAAGACCAAGGACGGCAAGTTCAAGATGCCCAAGTTCGGCATGCCGTCCTTCGGCTGGTCCAGCAGCAGAGAGGCCAAGGGCACCGTGGCCGCTGACGTGGACGTCAGCCTCAAGGAGCCCCACGTGACGGTGCCCTCGGGAAGCGCCGAGGTCGACGTGAGCCTGCCCGCGGCCGAGATCCAAGCGCCCGGTGTGGAGGTGACAGTCGAGACGGGCGCCGCAGGGGACGGTGAGAAAGGCCGATTTAAGATGCCCGACGTCAAGATGCCCAGCGTCAAGCTGCCCAAAGTCAAAGCTCCCCACGTGCAGGTCAGCCTGCCAAAGGGCGAGGCCTCGCTTCCCAAGGCTCAGGCCGATGTCCCGGAGGGCGAAGGCGCCGTGCAGGGTCCTGATGCCGAAAGCGGCCTGGAGGCGGCTGCCGGCAAAGTTGAGAGCGGCGGCATGAAAATACACATGCCGAAAGTCAAGGTGCCCAGCGTCGTCTTCTCCAAGCCGACCGTCAAGGCTCCCAAACTGGACGCAGACGTCTCACTGGACAAAGTCGACGTCAGCCTCCCGGAGGCTGGCCTCAAGGCTGGCGACATCAGCGTCACGGCCGCCAACATCAGGCTGCCCTCCGTGGAAGGCTCCGTTGAGCTCCAGGCGCCTGACATAGACCTGAAAGCCCCCTCTGCCGAAGGCTCCCTAGACACGGCCGAGCTGGAAACCACGGGCCTGAAAGGGAAGTTAAAGATGCCCAAGTTCGACAAGCCCAAATTCGGAGTGTCGCCCCCCAAGGCGGAGGCGCTCGAAGGCCAGCTCAGCCTGCCCACCGCACAGGTCGACCTCCCGTCCGCCACAGTGACGGCCGCAGGGGAGGGCACCGCGCTGGGCCTCAAAGCTGACATCCCCAGCGGCAAAAGCGAAGGGGCCGGCTGGAAGCTGGAGAAGCCCTCCCTCAAAATGCCCAAAGCGGACATCAAAGCTCCCAAGGCGGACATCAGCCTCCCATCTGTCGACGTCACCCTTCCAAAGGCCAGCGTTGAGCTGCAGGCGCCCGAGGCAGCCCTCAGCCTCGAAGGAGAAGCCAAAGCCCCAGAGAAGGAGGCCGTGAAGACCAAGGACGGCAAGTTCAAGATGCCCAAGTTCGGCATTCCGTCCTTCGGCTGGTCCAGCAGCAGAGAGGCCAAGGGCACCGTGGCCGCTGACGTGGACGTCAGCCTCAAGGAGCCCCACGTGACGGTGCCCTCAGGAAGCGCCGAAGTCGACGTGAGCCTGCCCGCGGCCGAGATCCAAGCGCCCGGTGTGGAGGTGACAGTCGAGACGGGCGCCGCAGGGGACGGTGAGAAAGGCCGATTTAAGATGCCCGACGTCAAGATGCCCAGCGTCAAGCTGCCCAAAGTCAAAGCTCCCCACGTGCAGGTCAGCCTGCCAAAGGGCGAGGCCTCGCTTCCCAAGGCTCAGGCCGATGTCCCGGAGGGCGAAGGCGCCGTGCAGGGTCCTGATGCCGAAAGCGGCCTGGAGGTGGCTGCCGGCAAAGTTGAGAGCGGCGGCATGAAAATACACATGCCGAAAGTCAAGGTGCCCAGCGTCGTCTTCTCCAAGCCGACCGTCAAGGCTCCCAAACTGGACGCAGACGTCTCACTGGACAAAGTCGACGTCAGCCTCCCGGAGGCTGGCCTCAAGGCTGGCGACATAAGCGTCACGGCCGCCGACATCAGGCTGCCCTCCGTGGAAGGCTCCGTTGAGCTCCAGGCGCCTGACATAGACCTGAAAGCCCCCTCTGCCGAAGGCTCCCTCGACGCGGCCGAGCTGGAAACCACGGGCCTGAAAGGGAAGTTAAAGATGCCCAAGTTCGACAAGCCCAAATTCGGAGTGTCGCCCCCCAAGGCGGAGGCGCTCGAAGGCCAGTTCAGCCTGCCCACCGCACAGGTCGACCTCCCGTCCGCCACAGTGACGGCCGCAGGGGAGGGCACCGCGCTGGGCCTCAAAGCCGACGTCCCCAGCGGCAAAAGCGAAGGGGCCGGCTGGAAGCTGGAGAAGCCCTCCCTCAAAATGCCCAAAGCGGACATCAAAGCTCCCAAGGCGGACATCAGCCTCCCATCTGTCGACGTCACCCTTCCAAAGGCCAGCGTTGAGCTGCAGGCGCCCGAGGCAGCCCTCAGCCTCGAAGGAGAAGCCAAAGCCCCAGAGAAGGAGGCCGTGAAGACCAAGGACGGCAAGTTCAAGATGCCCAAGTTCGGCATGCCGTCCTTCGGCTGGTCCAGCAGCAGAGAGGCCAAGGGCACCGTGGCCGCTGACGTGGACGTCAGCCTCAAGGAGCCCCACGTGACGGTGCCCTCGGGAAGCGCCGAGGTCGACGTGAGCCTGCCCGCGGCCGAGATCCAAGCGCCCGGTGTGGAGGTGACAGTCGAGACGGGCGCCGCAGGGGACGGTGAGAAAGGCCGATTTAAGATGCCCGACGCCAAGATGCCCAGCGTCAAGCTGCCCAAAGTCAAAGCTCCCCACGTGCAGGTCAGCCTGCCAAAGGGCGAGGCCTCGCTTCCCAAGGCTCAGGCCGATGTCCCGGAGGGCGAAGGCGCCGTGCAGGGTCCTGATGCCGAAAGCGGCCTGGAGGTGGCTGCCGGCAAAGTTGAGAGCGGCGGCATGAAAATACACATGCCGAAAGTCAAGGTGCCCAGCGTCGTCTTCTCCAAGCCGACCGTCAAGGCTCCCAAACTGGACGCAGACGTCTCACTGGACAAAGTCGACGTCAGCCTCCCGGAGGCTGGCCTCAAGGCTGGCGACATCAGCGTCACGGCCACCGACATCAGGCTGCCCTCCGTGGAAGGCTCCGTTGAGCTCCAGGCGCCTGACATAGACCTGAAAGCCCCCTCTGCCGAAGGCTCCCTAGACACGGCCGAGCTGGAAACCACGGGCCTGAAAGGGAAGTTAAAGATGCCCAAGTTCGACAAGCCCAAATTCGGAGTGTCGCCCCCCAAGGCGGAGGCGCTCGAAGGCCAGCTCAGCCTGCCCACCGCACAGGTCGACCTCCCGTCCGCCACAGTGACGGCCGCAGGGGAGGGCACCGCGCTGGGCCTCAAAGCCGACATCCCCAGCGGCAAAAGCGAAGGGGCCGGCTGGAAGCTGGAGAAGCCCTCCCTCAAAATGCCCAAAGCGGACATCAAAGCTCCCAAGGCGGACATCAGCCTCCCATCTGTCGACGTCACCCTTCCAAAGGCCAGCGTTGAGCTGCAGGCGCCCGAGGCAGCCCTCAGCCTCGAAGGAGAAGCCAAAGCCCCAGAGAAGGAGGCCGTGAAGACCAAGGACGGCAAGTTCAAGATGCCCAAGTTCGGCATGCCGTCCTTCGGCTGGTCCAGCAGCAGAGAGGCCAAGGGCACCGTGGCCGCTGACATGGACGTCAGCCTCAAGGAGCCCCACGTGACGGTGCCCTCGGGAAGCGCCGAGGTCGACGTGAGCCTGCCCGCGGCCGAGATCCAAGCGCCCGGTGTGGAGGTGACAGTCGAGACGGGCGCCGCAGGGGACGGTGAGAAAGGCCGATTTAAGATGCCCGACGTCAAGATGCCCAGCGTCAAGCTGCCCAAAGTCAAAGCTCCCCACGTGCAGGTCAGCCTGCCAAAGGGCGAGGCCTCACTTCCCAAGGCTCAGGCCGATGCCCCGGAGGGCGAAGGCACTGTGCAGGGTCCTGATGCCGAAAGCGGCCTGGAGGTGGCTTCCAGCAAAGTTTCTCTTTATTATTCTGTAACAGAGCATACTCCTGCTGTTATTTCAGGTAGGGTTGGAGCTGATGTTCCTACTGTTAATAAGGGAGTTATTTGCTCTAAAAATACAATGTTACGAATTCCTGTCTTGTGTTTCTCCAAAGTTGATATTGGTTCTTCCAAATATGAGCAGGATTCCCCATTACCAAAATGTGATATTACTCTTACCAAATATCAAATGAATCTAGTAGAATCTGAGTCCAAAATGTCATCTCTTGCTGATGAGAATATTTCAGTAACAGATTTTGAATTTTTAAGTGAAAATGCTTCTTTGGAGCAAGGAACTCTGAAGCCAGGATGTAAACTACCATCTGCTGAAATACCTGTAGATGACACAGAGTTTACAGTTAAAATTCCTAAATTCCAAAGACCAAAATTTGGATTTTCTTTGTCCGTGGGAAAACCATCAGTAAGTGACATTGGTTCCAAAGAGGAATCTGAAATTTCCAGGGAAAGCACAACATCTGATATGGCTGATATTGACAAACTAACTCAGATCTGTGATGCTGAGTTTGGCGTAAAGATGCACAAGCCTTCACCTGAAATTGTTCTAGATGCACCCAGGTTGGATGTCTGTCTCCCATCAATGGAAGTTAGCATGCCAAAACTAGAAGTGGAAATCGATGGCCCAGATTTAGAATGCAAGGCAGAACAGGAAGTATTTTCAGGAGAGATGGACACTGGGGAGAAAGAAAACAAAGTTAAAAAGTCAAAATTCAAACTCCCGTCGTTTAGTTGGTCACCAAAGAAAGAAGGTATTGCTCCTTCTGAAGTGGAAGGACATCTGCAAGAACCAGCTTTGTCTACTCTGTCTCAAGACACAGAATCTGAATTAATATTTCTTACCCCTGAGAATCAAAACCTTCATGTAGAATTTGACACATCAATAGAAAAAGATGGTGGAAAGGGCAGAATCAAGAAGTCTCAGTTTACCATGCCAAAGATCTCATTCCCTAAAATGAAAGGTCAGAAAGTCCAGGTATCTCTGCCTGTACTGGAAACTGACACTTGCGGTCCCAAACAAGAGAAAAAAGGTGTTTCAGTACAGGAATCTGAGAAAGGAAGTAGTGTAGAAGGGGCAGAACTGGACATAAAAATGACAAAAATTACAGTCCCAACTTCAGAATTTTCCAAAGCAGAAATCAGAGCTCCCAAAATAGAGATGGGTATGCCTACAGGTGAGGTCATACTTCCTACATGTGAAGAAAATGACCTGACATTGAAATCTGCCGCTGCTAATGCCAGCCTCTCCCCCTCGGATATTAAGATGACAACTGAAGGCTCCCTTGAGGTGAAGAGTCTTGACACAAGTGTTGAAAGAACATCAAGTGAAATTGCTATGGGTGATGTAGAAATAAAAATGGAAGGTGCTGAAGGGAGAACAAAAATGTCTAAATTCCAAATGCCAAAATTTGGAATTACAGATTCTAAAGGGAAAGGGTCAGAAAAGGAGGTCAGAAAATCCAAATCAGAAGTCAAGGTTCCTCAACTAAAACCAATGGTAGAAATAGCTGACATTGCTGTTGAAGCACCAAAATGGGAGGTGGAATGTGGTACAGGAACAGAAACTTACAGCCCTAAAGTCAAAATGACCAAAGCTGACAATAGGGCATCAGAGGCTGACATTTCTATTCCAAAACCAGACACTGGTATTGAGGATTCAGATGCAGTACTAAAAACTAAAGGGGAAAGAAAGCAGGATGGAGATGGAGAAGGAGGACATTTCAAAATGCCAAAATTCAAACTTCCATCCTTTAGTTGGTCACCAAAGAAAGAAACAAGTGTTAAACTGGATTCTGGAGTGAATTTGGAAGATCATAAACTTGCTGCAATGTCAAGCAAAATAGACACAGAAGTGAGAGAAACTGCAACTGATGACCAAGGTAGTGGGCCAGACCTTGATCTGGAAATATCTGCAGGAAAAACTGAACAGAAAAATCCAAGTAAAAAGCCTCAATTTGTCATGCCTAAAATTTCACTCTCCAAGATCAAGGTTCCCAAACCTCATACTCGTTCACCAAAAGTTGAAGCTGACACTACTATTCTTGAAACAGAGAGAGAGGGTGATGATTCAATACAGACACCTGATATAGAAAGAAGCGATTTTGAAAGAACACAAGAAGGGACACAAATAGGCATAAAACCATCTGATGTTAAGATCTCCACTCTGGACTTTTCAAAAATAGAAACTGGAGCCTCCCAAACTGAAATGAGAGTCAGCTCAGCAAAGATCGGTGCTGCTCTGCCTCTTTCAGAGGGGAGTTTTCAACAACTTGTCTTAAAATCAAGTTCTACCAATGAAGATACCATTCAGAAAACAGGTATTAAGTTCCCTAAAGAAGAAACTCCAATAGAACCGAGGAGCCCTGAAATAATAACAGAAAAGTCATTAGTTGTGGATGGAAGAAAGATTAATTTGGAAGGTGCTGAAGGGAAGATTAAAATGCCCAAATTTCAGAAGCCAAAATTTGGAATTTCCCTAACAAAAGGGAAAGGCCCAGAGACAGAAATCAACTCTCCAAAAATAGAAGCTGAGGTACCCCAGCTAAAAATGACAAAGGAAACTGCTGACATTGATGTGGGAGTTCCAGTATCAGAACTTACATCTAATATGTCAGATCCTGGAGTAGGTGTTTGTAAGATAAAAACACCTCAAATTCTGACAGCTGGCATCAAAGCACCAAAGGTAGATGTAAGCCTCCAGTCAGTGTCTAAACCAATGACAGAGGGAGCTGTTGAGAGCCTTGAGGAGAAATATATCAAATTAAAAGAAGAATATGATATAAAAGCTGAAGAAGGTCAGACTGAAGAACATCAGGGATGGTTTAAAATGCCGAAATTCAGAATACCTGCATTTGGCAGGACATCCTTAAAGGAAAAAAAAGGTGATGCTTATATCGAAAGATGTATGGAAGAAGCTCAGGCAGTCATTCCCTCTGCTGAAGTACAAACTGAAATGAGTATTCCTGAAAATCCATTCGCATTACCACATGCAGTCACTGAAATGACTATTGGAAAAGAAGGGATTCCAAAATTAGGAGATTCTGTGAAGAGTTCTGATGTTAGCTTGGCAAAGATGGAAGGAGATATTTTGTTGTCCACAGAAAGAGTAGATAGCACAGTGAATATTCCAAAAACTGAAACTTATGCAGATATAGTTAAGCACAGTGCTGAAGGACAAAAAAAGTATACTTCAGAACTCACAGTATCTCCAGCAGAATTTGATAAAGATAACAGTTTAACAGATAGGTTTTCTACGTGTACTCTGACTCTTCAAGGGCATAAAATCAAATCACAGGATATAGAAGTCCCAAAGGCAGAAAGTTCCTCTAAGTTAGAGACTTCAGGAACAGGATGTATACCATCATCAGCTGAAAACACTCTGGATGCAATGCAGGAGAAAATAGATGTTAGTCTTCCAAAGGAAGAGCTAGTTATTCAAAATCAAGAGGCAGTAATTAAACGAGGAAAGATAAAGGGTGAGATGAAAATTACAGGAAAAGACAGTGAAGGAAGCCAATTGAAAAGGCCTGTGAGTGAGTGGTCTACAGCAAAGGGATCAGAAGATGGTGCTTATGTTACAGCTAAGCTGGAAGATCTAATGGTAGAAGTTCCAGTAGTGAAGATGGACGTTAAATTTGCTAAAGTAGATCCTGAAATGAAATTTCAAGTGGAAAGTGTTGAAAAGGACATGTCTGCAGGAGGGCAAGTGCAAGTAGAAAATAGAGCAGAAACAAGTAAAATTAAAACATACAAGTTTAAGATTCCAAAGTTTGGAGTGTTGCATTCAGAAGTCGAGGGTTTTGAAGATGATATCAATTTGCCAAAGTCAGAAGCTGATTCAGTATCTAAAGCTGAAATAGGCGCAGCAGAGATGCAGTTTCAAAAATTAGAAAAATCTATTGGCCTGAAACGTCCATCTCTAGAGCATATGGAAGCATCTGCCAGAATAACAGCAGACGAATCACAAGATGACCCAGAAGTAAATACAAAAATTCCCAAGCTAAAAATACCAAGGTTTACTTTCAAAGCTCTTCCAATTGAAGCTGATGTTTCAGTGTCAAAAGTGGTAACAGATCCAAAGGGATCTAGTACTGACATTGAAGTAGTGCAACTGCAAGAAAGCTCTGATATCCCCAAAGAAACACCAGTGGCTCTAGAGGGTAGTGTTCTAAAAGCAAAAAGCAAAATTCTAACACTAACTGAACCTGACATTAAAACAGCACAGATGACTACTACCATAGGGTCCTCCCTTCCAAACACAGGGCAAGACATTCACTGGTCATATGTAGAGGGCCAAGAAGCGAGTGAGAAAGTAGAACCTGAACATGTTGCTATTGAAAGATGTGAGATTTATACTACTGAAATAGTGAAAGAATCAGAGATTCTCTCATCAGAAGTCAAAACTCCTGCTTTGGGATTCTCATTGCTCAAGGTGAAGTTGCCTGAATCACATAGCAACTTAGAAGTGCTAGTCCAGCAGCCATCTCCAACAGAGGGTGTGTCAGTGAACACATCTAAATATGCTGATGAAAGTTTTGGAGGAGCAGCACGGAGGACTGACAGTGCTGAGCTTAAACTATCTGACAATCTACACAGTGAGATTGAAGAATCTATTGGAGAAGTAAGTTTGCCAAAGTTAAAAACATCTGCTGTTGAAGTAAAGCCTTCCAGTAAACTTGAAGAGAGTCTTCCTGGTCAATCACTGCAGGGAATAACTGCAGATCCTCTCTCTAAAGATGAGAATGTAGCTGAAGCACTAAAAGGTGAAGAAAAAGACATAACCAATGGAAAAGAAAAGACTGATAGTAAAAGATCTCCTGGAAGATTCAAATTTTGGCTTCCAAGTATTGGCTTTTCATCTTCTGGTGATGAAACTAGCACAGATTCAAAAACAGAAGTAAAAAAGTTAGTTCCAGAAGAAGTGAAACCTGCTGACACATCAGGTCATGATTCTTCTAAGCAAACTGAAAAAACTGGATGGTTTAGATTTCCCAAGCTTGGTTTCACATCTCCTTCCAAAAAGGCTAAAACTGTTGACAAAGAAGAGATGGGTCATGGAGAGGGAAGAATCTCAGATGAAGATAGCCCATCAGATAAACCTGATGTATTTTTTGATGCACAAGAAAGCTTATCACCTAAAGATACAACAGAGGATGAAACAGTTGAAGCTGATGTGCTCTCATCTAATGTTCCAGTTTCTGGAACTATCGTGACATCTTCAGCAAGAACTGAACTAATCTTGTTGGAAGAAGAAAAAGATAGTCAATCTAATATTCCTGGAGATAAAACCAAATGAAAATTATCTTTTCTCAATTCTCAATGAAAATAAAATAATCTACATGTACAGACAAGAATGTTTTCTTAATTTTTTAGTAACTGAAAATTAAACAAAACCTAAAACTTATTCATGATTATGTTTAGATTATAGATTACTTCCAAAATGGAATATAACCTAGTACTATGAGAAGTACACTTACATGTTTAGATTTTGGACCTTTCTGACCTACTTTTTCTTTCTTATTAAAATATTTTTCTTTATTTCAGCTAAGGTAATATATATATATATATCCCATGAACATTTTAAAATGCAAAATGAAAACAAAATACTAGTGTAGAGAGACTAACTCTTTACCTCTTCCTCTCTTCTCATTTTTTCATTATTGTGGTGGGTCATATTTAGCCTTAAAAGAATTTTAAAAGAAAACCAGAATAAATTCAAGACCAAAAACCATGTAACTAACTCACATTTTTAAGATACCAAAAAAAAAACCCAAACAACATTCTGACAAAGAATAATTATTGAAATGTGAATAAATAAATTTTTATGTATATATTTACTGAATACTTAAATACACAGAATGATCTGCCACAGTGGTGGAATTGCTTCAAAGATTTTTCTGGGACAGGAGATGTATATAATAATTTGCTTCTCTGTTTATATTAGTGCTTCTCTCAAGTTCACAACAAAAAACAAAGTGCATATGTGACAGCCTTCATGTGTATCATTAAAACACTGTATTCTTAATTCACAATAAACTCACCATATGAATAATAACTCGAGTATTGTGAGTTACTGATAGTGCTGTTAGCATTTTCTGAACCTGAAAACCCCAGCTTAAATTTGCAAAAGATTTGAGTATACCCAACTATCTGCTGAAGTGGCTACTTAATGACAGCACAGATTCTAAATACAGTGGTAATGAAGACTTTTCACACATTATCACAGTATCACAGTATGCTAGAGATTGGAAGGGACCTTGAAAGATCATCTAGTCCAATCCCCCTGCCGGAGCAGGAACACCTAGATAATGTTACGCAGGAATGCGTCCAGGCAGGTTTTGAATGTCTCCAGGGAAGGAGACTCCACAACCTCCCTGGGCAGCCTGTTCCAGTGCTCTGTCACCCTCACTGAGAAGAAGTTTCTTCTCAAGTTTAAGTGGAACCTCTTGTGTTCCAGTTTGTACCCATTACCCCTTGTCCTATCATTGTTTGCAACTGAGTAGAGCCTGGCTCCATCCTCGTGACACTCCCCCTTTATATCTTTATAGACACTTACAAGGTCACCCCTCAGTCTCCTCTTCTCCAAACTATAGAGACCCAGCTCCCTCAGTCTTTCCTCATAAGGGAGATGCTCCACTCCCTTAATCATCTTTGTTGCCCTGCGCTGGACTCTCTCCAGCAGCTCCCTGTCCTTCTTGAACTGAGGGGCCCAGAACTGGACACAATATTCCAGATGCGGTCTCACCAGGGCAGAGTAGAGGGGAAGGAGGACCTCTCTTGACCTACTAACCACCCCCCTTCTAATACACCCCAGGATGCCATTGGCCTTCTTGGCCACAAGGGCACAGTGTTGGCTCAGGGTCATCCTGTCGTCCACTAGGACCCCCAGGTCCCTCTCCCCTACACTGCTCTCTAACAGGTCGTTCCCCAACCTATACTGGAACCTGGGGTTGTTCCTGCCCAGATGCAGGACTCTACACTTTCCCTTGTTATATTTCATCAAGTTATTCCCTGCCCAACTCTCCAGCCTGTCCAGGTCTCGCTGGATGGCAGCACAGCCTTCTGGCGTGTCAGTCACTGCTCCCAGCTTAGTGTCATCAGCAAACTTGCTGATAGTACACTCAATTCCCTCATCTAAATCATTGATGAATATATTAATAATACCGGCCCCAGTACTGACCCTTGAGGCACTCCACTAGTTACAGGCCTCCAACTAGACTCAACCCCATAGACTACAACTCTCTGGCTTCTGTCCTTCAGCCAGTTTGCAGTCCACCTCACTACCTGATCAGTCCACACTTCCTCATTTTAGCTGTGAGGATGCTGTGGGAGACTGTGTCAAATGCTTTGCTGAAGTCAAGGTAGACCACATCCACCGCTCTGCCATCATCCATCCACCGTGTTATTTCCTCATAAAAGGCTAAGAGATTGGTCAAACATGATTTCCCCCTGGTGAAGCCATGTTGACTGCCCCTCATAACCCTCTTATCCTTGATATGCCTTAAGATGGCACTAAGGATAAGGTGTTCCATCACTTTCCCAGGGATGGAGGTGAGGCTGGCCAGTCTATAGTTACCCGGGTCCTCCTTCTTGCCCTTTTTGAAGACTGGAGTGACATTTGCTTTCCTCCAGTCCTCAGGCACCTCTCCTGTTTCCCAAGACTTGGTAAAGATGATGGAGAGTGGTCTAGCAATGACTTCCGCCAAAAGTCACAATCACAAGTTTTATAGATGGCATGTGCAGACATGCTTCATTATAGCAGTTTTCTCATCCTGTATTTTCTTGCTCCATATTCTACTTAGTACAGGGAAAGCAGACACAGCAAAACATTTAGAAACTGGGTTGTAAAGGAAGTGTACTTGGTTGTCTAACCATCTGTAGCTTGAGATGTTCTTCATTTCTGTATCCTTGCAGGAGGCTTAAATACTCTAAAAAGAACTGCTGGCAGTTATAAGAACTCTATCTCTGAAGAGACTGTTCATATAAATGTATCGTTTATTTGTAGCATTTCCCTGTGGTTTCCCTAAGTATAAAAGTTATTGTTCAATAGACCAAAAATTACCACATTATATGGCAATTTCATATACCAGGACTGAGGAAAACTTTGTGATCAAGACAGGAAAATCGAGTCCAGAAAAAGGTAACGTATGTTATGAAGGACATCACATTCTAACAGCAGCTTGCATTTACCTGCAAAGCTTCCTTCACCTAAAATGTTTCACAGGTAGTATTCATTTACTTAGGCCCACAAACAGGAATCCACCTACACAACACTGAATGTAGAAGTCTGTTGCAAAGGTGGCAGAATCAAGTCGATTAAAATTGAGCTCTGAGACAGCAATGACCACAGAGCAGTAATCACTGTCATGTTTTTTAAAGATTAATGAAATAGTTAAGGGAAGAGCAGTAGAAAAAAGCAGCAGCAATAAAACAATCCTCCAAATAGGCTACTGTCAGCTTTGGGAAGGGTGGAAGTTAGCGAATAAGCAACCAGGTTAACCCAAGGATCTGACCCCAGGCGTAGCTAAGAACAGAGCTCAAAGGGGTGCAAGGAGCACAGACACAAACCTGCAGAACATAGACATTTTGCCAACAGGCAGTTCTGATCCCACCTGCATCCTTAATTTGAGATGCTTAGATTGTTCTTTTAACTGTGGTAGGTTTCCTTCATTACTGGTGTTTTTTAACATGTGAAAAAGTGGGCTGTTTAGCTAAACCTCTGCATACAGTCTCCAGCCTAACAAACCTGCAACTGTGATTTGACATCTAAAATAACGTATAAATGCATTTAAAAGAAAGACACTCCCACCTTGGTAATTTCTTGCATTGTTGGTTGGCTATTGTGTTGTTATATTTGAAGCAGGACCTCTGACATATCCCAAAGGCAAGGCAGCTGAAGAATGGAATGGAACTGAACAGAACAGTTCATTTGGAAGGGACCTACTGCTTGACCATTTCAGGGCTGACCAAAAGTCAAAGCCTGTTATTAAGGGCATTGTCCAAAATACTTCTTAAACACTGATAGGCTTGGACCATTGACCGTCTCTCTAGGAAGCCTGTTCCAGTGTTTGACCACCCTCTTTGTAAGGAAATGTTTCTTAATGTCAAGTCTGAACCTCCTCTGGTGCAGCCATTCACATACATCCTATCCTATACCAGGGAGAAGAGAGCAGCACCTCACTCTCCACTTCTCCTCAGGAAGCTGCAGGGAGCAATGAGGTCTGTGAATCAGTGCCCATGACAGAAGAGCTATCTTCCAGAGATTATGGAGATATTTATGACTTTCAAAAAATTAAGTATGCATTGATATAGCATAGATTGTAAATGAGAATCTTTCTTAGTACCTGAATGAAAGCAACAAGGGTGTGATTCATCTGGAACAACTGGGAAAGGAAAATACTAGATAATGGGGGAAAAATGGAAAACAGATTAACACAAAAGCTCTTGGAACAAGGTAGTGTGTAATGTGTGAAGCCAGGTGACTTTTAGTCCTCCCAGAACTCACAGACTTGTAGAGCCAGCTGTGTTCTGTCTTGCTGTTATCTGACACTGGTGTCAGCAGCACTGTAGCCACAAGGCACTGCACCAAACCAAGTGCTATCAGAGACTGCTGGGAGAGCAGTGCAGCAGCTCTGCGTGAAAGCCACTCATGTAAAGCAAGGCTGGTTTGCTTAAGTTGTACTCCAGCATAACATAGGTACATGAGATGAGCTGATCAGAAGAGAGCATCCATGCTCAAGATCCAAACCAACAACTTTTCCTAGACACTAATAAACTAATACTGAGAAAAATCTGAACTACCTGTAACCAAACTAGAAAATTCATTCAAAGAAAATAAATAGATGCTAATGAGTACTTCTGGAGGCCCCAGCTTACACTTGATATACTCTTTAACTCGAAGAAATCACAATCTAAATGAAAGCAATAAGTAACAGGTGGAGGGATAAGGACTATTATTAACCCTGTTTCATAAATGGAAAACAAAATTATGAAGAGATTCAAAGCCTGGTTATAATTTACACCATATTCTACCTTTGTAACAGACAAGTAATTTAGAACAAAACTATGAAGGGGCCTAAGAAGTTTCACAGGAAAGCGGGGAAATAAACTCAAGTTCCTCTTAGATCCAGTTTATGGTCTTAGTTGTAAACCCCCTCCTTCATTTGTGGAGGAAAACCAATACAAGTGATGCCAGCAAAGAGCATTCGCATAAGCGTCAATTTTTCTTACATAAGCTGAACCTGACCTCGTATGAGTCTTACATTACCAGAAGACAAGTCTCACAGCTTGTCCAGAAACTCTGAACAGTTTATCCAGTACTGTCAGATTTGAGCTCACAAGTGGAGAAGAAAGTTTCCTTCTTGTTCCCGCAATACCCATCATCCCCAAATCAGTGAAAACACAGCTTCGAGTGCCATCTAGAGGAGCACAATCCGCTACAGAAAATAATTCTGTTGGCTCAAGATGTAACTGCTCAAACAGCTTTTCAAACTGCCCCACCACTCACATGTGCTCATTGCACAGAGCCCAGAGCACGACTCCACAGGGAGGTCGGCAAAGTCCCTGTCCTGGCACTCCACCTCTGAGCTGTGAAACTGCTGCGGACCTTGGCAGTCTTGAAAGGCCTGTGGCAGCTCAGCTTCAAGCCCCTCTTGGCAAGGCCTCATTCAGGTGAATTTTGGCTCTTGGTGCAGACATGGACGGGGTAGTGGGAGTACAGACTTCCCCATCACAGTGCAACCTCCCCATCCTCCACAGGAAGAATTTTGGTGCTTTTGAATCTCTGCCCTGTTCTGAGATGACAAAGGGACCTGCTGTGATTGTCTGTGCGTGGACTGACTTGAATCTCTGTGAATACACACAAATCCCCATACAAATATGCCTCTTTCTCTATAAGGTCTTTTGGAGATGATGCAAACCAATTTTCCATTTTTTGGTTTCCCTGCTGCTCCTCAGCTATCTCTTCCAAATACTTCCAAGACCCTTGGATTGTTTTATCCATCATTACAGATCAAATGCTTGCTGTTACTAATGCAGATTTTTATGACATTGACAGATAACACTGAACTTCCGTATCACATATGTGCAAACATACTGAGGAAGATGCAGGTGCTTTTAGCGCTCTCCTCCCCTATTTCCTTTCTAAAGGCTGCTTTGTATTTTGATATTTCCACTCATTAATTAAAATCCCTAGCAAAATAGAAACTTCCCAGCTGGTTTTCACTAGCTCCATTTCATGGGTTTATTAGCCGGTACTAACAAATATACCTGACCATGTATTGATACTTGCATGCAAGAACAAAATCAGAAATATTTTTTTCAGTGCAGTGGGCTTTCACCTTGGGCTCTCTCGCCTCTGGTGCACATCAGTCCCTAAGCAAAAGGTTCACACTGCTACTCCCTTTCCAGTGCCCAGGCAAAGTGTGCAGCTCTGGCAAGGTTCACAGAGCCTAAGGTCAGTGTCATTCACACCTCTCCATTGCTGGCCTATGTGCTCTGCTTTCCTTTCCTGTCACTTCTGAGAGTCACCCAGGGCAGAGCCACTATGCAGTGGTGGATATGGACATAAGGCACCAGATGACTCAGGTTTATGGTCCCTGTGTGACTGCAGCAGAAAAGGAAGCCCAGAGACACAACACTGGTCAGGTCCAGCACCAAGACATCCCCAAAGGAGCAAGGAGATTTCCCAAGCACTGACCACAGAGTAGGTGGGATGCCGTTGTCAACCCAGCACTCACACATCAGCTTTGCTCTTCTTTTGCCATCCCATTTACTGCCTGTGGCCAATGCACAGACATCCAAGCATCCCCAAACACTCAGGGCTCCAGATTTATATCACAGGTTCTTAATTCTGGAAACTAGCCTCAACACTTAAATATGGGTATTTCCCTGTACCTCTAATTCCTAAATGCTTTTAAAAATCTGCCCTTGCTATTGTAGGCAATTACTTACACAGCTCAAAATCTTAAAGTGGCCAGGAGTTTATTAAAAATACGGTTAAACACATGTAAGCAAATACTGTTAATGGAACATTAAGGTTGAAGTATATAGCTTCCTAAAATAAAATAGCACGGCAATCTGCGTCTTTGATATACTAAGATCCAATTGTATCTTCCATTTTGCTTTAATATCAGATAGCTTGTCATATAACACTGTATGCATTTCATTAACTCTGGAGTGAGGGAATCACACAAAAAAGAGAAGCGTCACACTGACTAATAGTTTTGCAGGCAGAGTCAACTACGAGAAGTTCTCACCTCATCAATGTGGATATCATATTGGAACAATTTTTCTGACAAAGGCAGAATGAGAAAACTCCCTGTTCTGCACAGGGAACAAGATTCAAGTGGGGGCTTTTTGTTTTAGTTTAAATTTGTATTTCAATTCACTTCAGGGCCTGCCTCTCCAGTTACAGTCTTTCTGTCCCTGCACATCTTCCAGATTCACTGCGTATTTGGAATTCCAGTCTCGCTCAAAAAGATGTTTTAATTGTTCCTGGATAGGCAGTTGCCTTCTCTGCACGTTGGTTGAATTCTGTTTGATAATTAGCCCCACACCAGCAGTGTTAATGAAGTAATCTTCTGACCAATTCGAAGTCCCTATGCAATGAAAAAGTATCTAATTAGAAAACATTAATTTCCCAGTGTTCTGTTTCATCCCTATTCTTGTTAAGTCCACATTTGTCTGGCTTTGCTGATTTGCTGTACAACTGCAAATCTCATTAGGACCAATAAAGCAGCAAAAACGAGGTCACCTCCTTCTTATTCCAGACCTCAGGTTTTGCAAAGTGAGTACTAACTGCAAACCTGAAGCTTCATAACCTGATTCCTTACAGCCTGTGACAGAGACGCACAAACCTAATTATTACAAATATGCAAATAGAGTGATACACTGAGGTATTAAAAGAGGTAAAAGTCAGCGTTTGATATGGGTTTCTGTGTTTAAAGAAAAAAAAATCCTTAATGGACTTAATTCTCTTGTTAAAGAAAAACAAGACCCTTGATCAATAAAACCTTGGGAGCTGCTCTGAGCTCAGCATGCAATGCCAGCTTTTAAACCAGGTAAAGTTGGGAATTCAGCAGCAGGCATTGTCTAGGGCTCTCTCCAAAGCTATTATAATTCAGTAAATCAAATACTGTGGAAAAAATGCACATTTTATCATTTAGCACTTTTCCTGGTATGTGCCTTAGCTAGAAAAATCTACCGTCAATTCCGGAAGGTGCTTAGCCATGAAAACAAATTGTCTGCATATCTGTCTTCAAAAGACAATTCAGTAAGAAACAAATTCTGTTAAAGGCAATTGGAGCTGCAAGTGCTCAGCCCATTGGAAGATTAGGCTATTTGCTGGTTTGCATTGCTTGTAGGATGAGCTGACTGAAATGACAGAGCCCTTTCACATTGCCTTTCTTGAGGGATCCTAATAAGAGAGCAAAAAATAAACATAATTCTGACTTTCAGGAATTGAGCAGCAATTGACATTAGTGTTTTTTCATTTCCTTTCCTAGAGTTCTGTTCAACAAACAGTGCGTGGAATTAATTCCTTCCAGCAATTTAGTTTTATTAAAGCACAATGTTATATACTAGAGCATCAGCTATCACTGCATCATTACGAGCACACAGTCTGTGAAATTCCCACTGTGCTTGTCACAAGCTGTGAACTCAGACATGTCATGCTCTGTTCTTAACGGTTCACAGTCATATGAAATAATCTGTTACTGAACCTGACCTACATTATTGTCTCCCTTTCACATCTCTACTTCTTTATCCAGGGCAGACTGATTTACATGGAAAAATGGGGTCTTTTTCTGATATTGCAGCCCATCCTATGTCAGCCTCAATCCTATAGATCTAAATATACTGTAAGTGTTTGGAATAATGGAATACATACCAATATAGGCTACTTTATCGGTGACCATATATTTGTTATGATTCACTCTCCCATGAGGAATATTTGTGTGATTCATAACTGGAACAATGAAGAGTTTCTGGAGAGAGAGAAATTAAAAATAGAAATACCATAGTTAGGAACAGACTGCATGATTGGATAATGCAGATTTTCTATATTTACAAAGACTAGAATAGTACAGAAAGAACAGAATAGTCCACCCACTGTTATTAAATGTACCATAAAAGAGATTTTACTCTTATCCAAGAGAACTAACAAATAGTATTTCCACTATACATAAAATTGGATAAGCAATTGAGATCAGATAAGGATAATGTTTCCTTCACAATGTTCCATTAGTGGCACAGCTATTATCATTACAGGGCAGACACATAAATGCAGTTTTAGGCAGCTGTTTAATAGGTCTGCATTTACAACTGATTGCTGCTCTTATTTTGTGCTAGAATGGGCTGATCACAGACACAAGGGGTACTGCAGGCAACAAAAATGCTGAACTTTTTGTGTTAACTCTTATTGGGTTTGTTTGTTTGTTTGGTTTTTCCTTTTGGTAAAAAACATTCCACCTTAGTTCTGTGACTTCACTGTGTCATGGTAACTGCATCATGTCGGGAGCTTCCATACCACCTCCCTCCACTTGATGCACTCCAGCCTAGTGCCTATGGCCTGTGCGTAATACCTAGTGTTCACAAACAGGCCCATTTGTCTAGGCAGTCAGCAGAGATCTCAATCGTAAAAAATTGACAGTAATTAGACCCATTTAAGATGCTTAATACAGGAAAAGGTCTATGAAAAGAGCACTAGGTTGTCATATAAACTGTCACTCTCATGGTGCTCAGCAAAAGCTACTGCCTGGATAATCAGAGAATGGTTTGGGTTTGAAGGGACCTTAAAGATCATCCAGTTCCAACTGGAGATTCAGAGCAGCTCTGCGGAGAAGGACTTGGGGGTGTTGATCAATGACAAAATGAACATGAGCCAGCAGTGTGCATTTGCAGCCCAGAAAGCCAACCGTATCCTGGGCTGCATCAAAAGGAGCATGACCAGCAGGTCGAAGGAGGTGATCCTGCCCCTCTGCTCTGCTTTCGTGAGACCTCATTTGGAGTGTTGTGTGCAGTTCTGGTGTCCTCAACATAAAAAGGACATGGAACTCTTGGAGCAAGTCCAGAGGAGGGCCGCGAGGATGATCAGGGGACTGGAGCACCTCCCATATGAAGGCAGGCTGAGAAAGTTGGGGCTGTTCAGCCTGGAGAAGAGAAGGCTGCGTGGAGACCTCATAGCAGCCTTCCAGTAGCTGAAGGAGGGCTATAAGGATGCTGGGGAGGGACTATTTGCTAGGGACTGTAGTGATAGGCCAAGGGGCAATGGGTTAAAATTTAAACAGGGGAAGTTTAGATTGGCTATAAGGAAGACATTCTTTACTGTGAGGGTGCTGAGGCACTGGAATGGGTTGCGCAGGGAAGTTGTGAATGCTCCATCCCTGGCAGCGTTCAAGGCCAGGCTGGACAGGGCCTTGGGTGTCATGGTTTAGTGTGAGGCTTCCCTGCTCATGGCAGAGGGGTTGGAACTAGATGATCTTAAGGTCCTTTCCAACCCAAACCATTCTCTGATTATGACAATCTGCTTCTCTAAAACCTAGTACTTCCACACACAATTGGCAGCTTAGACTCAAAAGTCAGTGGGAGGCTTGCATCCTCAAGCTGTCTTTCCAAAATCAGGTTTCTTATCGTACCACGCTGACACTGATGTGGGCATGTGGATTGTTGAGAGCACGCAGGGACCTCAAATAGTAGAGCATGGCTGGGTCAGAGTGGGTCCAGCAGCTGACCAGAAGCCGAATTTGTACTCTGTATTCGAAAGCTGCACGTCTCAGAGTGTTGTCAATTGCTGGCCAATATCTAGAGAAAAGTAGGTGGGAAGAAAAAGGGACAGTTCTGAAGTAGTTTGGTAGAAAGCTGCAAGAATGAACCGAGAATACAAGTAACATTGTGCACAGGTGGGATCTCGGGTACCTAGTAAGAGGAACTCTTGTGTCTTCACTGGAGGTATAAGTAAGATTTCTGCCTTCTACCCAGCCAGTTCATTTCACAGTGCATTTTGAGACCTCCAGTCTCTGCCAAATTAGGTTGAAAATTATCAAGAAGTTTAAAGCTTAGTAAAGTACATGTACACAGCCACACACACTGCTTGGTGCCATCATGCTCATTGCATTAGGAAACTAAAAATAACAACTCCAATGTACAGCCAGATCATACAGCATGAAGTAAAAAGGGCAGCACAGAGCCCAGAGGAAAGCCTAAGAACCACTTTGTAGAATATGGCCATTTCACACTTGGCGTGGACACTATCCCTCCCTATCCCTCCTTATCTTCTTTAGTATGCCAAGTGCCCTCAAGGTAATGAACACAGCTGTGTTCTCATGAACAAGGGGCTCTCAATTTCCATGACACTTGTTTTGATAGTAGCTTGGGGAAAATTTTTAACATCCTTGACCCAACTACACAACACCAAGTGCTGGACAATGTACAACCCAAGACTAGTAACTCCAAAGGCCTGTATAGGACTTTCATCCTGTAGACCCTAACAAGTGCTGCACGGAGGAAAACAAGCATCTTCAGTATAGATTGGAGGACAGAGCGGGATACAGAGCGGTCCAGCACTTGCTCACAGTCCCATGGGCAATGATTAATTAATTTGCCTGACTTATTCCTTGGGCCTTATGTACAAAGCCCTGAATTCTCTAAATTTCCACTGCACATCGTCCTATCACAATCAGCAGACTAGCCATGTGCTTTCAGGACCAGGTTGTCTTGCAGATCCTGAAAAACTCAGAAAAACATATTTAGAAATCCTATTTTTCAACAGTTTCCATTTTTTAAATGTATCAGGTTTGAGTTGATTAACACTCAGGCATTAAGATACCAGCTTTGTTCCTTCTGCCTCAGCTGCTGGAGGAACCTAACCTGAACTAATCAGCCTCAATTCATTGCACTATAGCTGATTGCTGTGGAGATAGCCTGAGGCCCCGCACAGCTTTCCCTAGGCCTTTCAAACTTTTTTTGCATCTGATCAGGTCCTAGGTGTCACAAATGGTGGATTAAGGCTTCAGATGAAGAATGGGGAGTATTAACACACTCATTCCTAAGGGGAAAAAAGACTTTCTGTGAACCTATTCTTAGCTAATAGCAGGAGATGAGAAACACAGAGATTCAACTGTACAGCACAGAAACCGAAAATCCTTGAAGTTGTTTGATTTATAAAAAGTATCCCCCAAGTGGAAGCTCGTCTTTGAGATTTCATTTCAAAGACAGTGGAATTATCTGTGCCTATCTATTATCCTTCCTGCTAACACATGCCCAGCTGAACAACAGAGGCTTTACACCATCATGCCACAGGACATGATGCATGGTATAATTCTGACTAAATGGAAAGCTAGAGCTCACCCTATTCCTTACAAGCCATGTTGTACATAATTATTTTGCCTGAGCTTCTTTCTCAGTCAGATTATTTAAATGATTGGAAAACTCACAAATGTTATAAACAGATAATACTCAGGACACTTGATTGCATGTAAACATCCTAATTCAAGCATATCTAAGAGGATTTGGAGTCTTAGTGGTTGCCCCATGACTGACTAACTTTTTGTGTTACTCTGATATGAGCTGATGTAGAGAGTCTGCAAAATTCTGCTGTGACCTTAGGCAGTGGTCCACTGCACACAACCTGATCACTCCAGATCACCACTACCACCTTCTTTTTGAGAGCGGCTACTGCATGCATGCAGCATGCTTTAGGAACTTGGATGTCCTTAGATGGAATTGTAAGAAAAGGAAAATAAAAGCCCAGAAGCTTCTTTTAGAGACTAGTTCAGCCTCCTGGTCAGCAAGGACAGTTAAGAATCACCCTTTAAACTATGGGTCCAGTACATCAAACAGGCAGCAGAACCAGAAGTCAAGAGTCTTCAGAAGTAAAGAGCAGAAAGAAAGAAACAGGAGCAGAAGAGGGGAACAAGAACATTTTCCCTGAAAAGCCTGATGTCAGGTATCTTTCTGCTGTTCCCATTCCTCTCTCTATTCACAAAGCTGCTCTGCTATGTTTTGAAGAGAGCTGTATTCTGATTGTCCCTGGTCTGTCACTTCACAGTTTTCTTGCTGTGTGAAGAGCATGCGAGGCTGATTTAAAACACTAGTGAAGCACAATGGACAGTACTGGATACCATCCTTCCTATAGTATCAATATTTGCACAGTCCATGAGGCAGTCAAGAGTGCAGAGCAAAGCCTCAGTTCTCTCCACTCTGAATACTTCTGTTGCAGAAGGAGCAGAATAGCATATTTTTCCTTTAAAAAGGGCAGTCAGCTGATTTGCTGAAGATACAAATTGTACCTTTCTGGGTGAATGAAACGGCTGGTAGGGAAATATTCCATAACAGAAACATAGACAAATTTCTGTGCCTCACTGATAATACTGGTTATAGCAAAGAGGTCATTGGTACGACCTTCTGGACAAAATGCTGGAGGGGAAGCCTGAAAAGAAGAAAACACACATGTCAGTGATTTCATCCTTTTTTCTGTCAGATTCTGTGAGTCATTTATGTTCAGATCTGTTCGGTTTTCATTATAATAGCACGAAGCACTTTAAGTGGACCACTATCTTTCCTCATGCCTTACATGACCTGATGGGTCAGATACTGATGTATTGAGCCCACAGGTGATCAAAGAAGACCTGCGCCCCATTCTTGCCATACTACCTGATGGATGAAGCTGGGTCAGCCCTTATTCGTTGAGCAGTTCCAAAGAAACCTGTTGAATTAATTATTATCCAATTGGAACACAGGTAACTGAGGACTGCTGAAAAAAAATTTCTGGCCTATGTTAAAATATAGTTCACACTCTATCCTGATACTTCTAAAGATACTTACAGAAAAATAGGCTTTTGTCAAGATTCCATTGAATTCTACTTCCAGAGGCTGATGCATGTTAATGTGGGTAGAATAATTAAGAGGCCAAGGGAATGGGACTGTAGCATTAGGAAGTCCAAGATCCCAGTAAGTACTAAATGTTTTCCAGAGGTCTTTGGCCAAGCAGCTGCAGTTGTATATCACAGCACCAAATTCTTTCACCTGCAAAGAGAGCAAGCTATGTCACAGCCCCAGAAAGAGCCACCTCCAAGGGTTTCTTTGCTGTTTCTCCCACTCAATCAGTATTTTACATTATGATGTTCTTCTGTTATGTGCTAGCACATGAATTTTCCCCCAGCTTTTTGAAGGAGAGCTTACCTGAGATAAAGATCTCCAGTCCATATTTGCACTACCAATGTATATGTGTTTCATGTCTATAATCCAGAATTTACTGTGCAACACTCCTCCTGCCAAATGTCCAAAATCAACCTTCTTTACATAAGCCCCTGAAGAAAAGTGGGGAGAGGCAAAAAGAGTTTAGACACAGCTGGAGATGGTAATCTGTACTGCTCCCCTGATAGCCAGGACATGTCTGGATGTCTAATACTTGCATCCACTAATAACTACCAAAATATACAAAATGTGAAATTTCAGAAAAATCCTTAAGGGCATGACAACATACACAAAAATCATGAACTAATGAACCCATAGCACTTGTCCTGTGAACTCACATAAACACCATGCCAGAATAAGCCCTGGAGACCAGTTTGTCTCAGATGCCCTATTGCAATGCAGAAGTTCTGAGTGCATCACTGAATAATTACCTTTTTCCTCTAAAAGCTCAAGGTCAGTTGAATTAGTTGCCAGAGTTGGAATACTTGCTGCAACATACACAGAGACATTCTCTGCAAGTAGTCTCTCAAACCTCTTCAGAATATCTTCACCCTGCATGGTACATTGCTATTTTTTGTATTTTGTTATAGAACATTTAGTAAGATATACTCAAAGTACAGTGTTACTAATGGATGCTTTGTTTGAAGAAGCCCAACACAAGAAAGATCAGAAATTTCATCTATTTTAGTATTGCTTCAAGTAGAGAAAAAAGGGAGCAAAGATTCTGATCCAATGTATGAATCAAAGTTTATTTTCTGTTGTTTAATGCTATTAGACGTGAGGCTTAAAAATACAACCACAAATATCCCAGACTTCAAAGGTGAATGCCCCAGTGAAGATCAACTGCTGGATGCTGATGCTCAACAGATACACTGCGTCAGTTCTCCCCAAGAATAAAATAACAGAGGCTGCCCTACACTGAGCTGTCCCTTTAGCAGAGACAGCCTTCCCTCTGTTACTTTCCCTTCTTTTTCTGAGGAGGAAATGAGTCATCTTACATCACCAGAACCACGTGGGGAGGAAGACAAATCCCAGAGAGCCCATGAGGCCAAGGAGGATGTGCCAGGGCAGGGGCAGAGGCAGAGCTCTGGCCTGCAGTAATAAACAGGCCAGTACATGGTCTGTCAGCAAACAGCACAATTCCTGACAGGTGACTAAACTCCACACCTACCTGAAATAGCATGGTCTTGTCCCTTCTGCTTTTCAGAATAGGCCCCCAGACCCTGCTCAGGATTGCCTGGGAGGCTGCCAGCTGCCACAGGCCAGGATAGAGCCAAGGGACACTTAAACACGATGAACAGTAGCAAGGTGAGCCTGTGCCGTGGCCTCTCCCATTTATTTTTGGTGGTGGAGCCAGAGAGGCCCTGCAGGAAGCCTGGCTGCACAGGGTGCCCAGGAGAAGAATGAATGTCCTGAATGGCTGCCCAATGGCATGCTTCAGGAACATCTGCAAAATGGGTGGATGCAGATGCTGTGCCTGTACAAGGGAGAGAAGCAGCCTCTGAAGCAGGTAAAAGTCCAGCAGACTTTGTTTCCTGACTCTTCCAGCTAGCCAGTGGGAATTGACATGTTCACTTGTGTATACGGATCCTGCAGGCTCTCTGGCCGTGCCACTGGCTGCCCCTACCGTAGGCTGACCGTCTGCAGGGTGAGAGAGTATGGTTTTGAGGCTGGCCTCTGCCCGGTTGCTCTTAAAACATGGCACAGAAATATTCAGAGAAAACAGAACCCATATGGGGTCTAACTTGGCCAGAGGAGGAAAGTTGGTGTGCTGCTTCAGACCAGCATGGAAAACCTTTCTGGGTTTGCAGGAAGCATCTGGAAGACAGGCCTCACAGTCAATCTGCTATCTACCACATGTCCATACAACCGTAAATGTGCTTGTCATTGATTCAGTCCTACCTGCTTGGAAGATGAGTCATTGACGTTGATATCCTTCCCAGCAAGAGACCAATAGTAAGAAGCCACGTAAATTTTTTCCTGGGCTATATCAAGGAGTCTCATCCAGGCTTTGTACAGGGGTTTGGCTGCAGTGCTGTTTATCTCAAAAGCTAAGTCATAAGGAACATTTTCCACCAGTTCAAAGCTGCAATGACAGTCGCATGTTGTGAAGCAAGTGACTGTAACCCAAGCAGGAAACTAAGCAGGAAAGCTCTCAAGCCATACACTTGGCCATTTTGGACATCAACCTCAAATGCGAACAAGCAGAGCTGGACGAACAAGATGGGACTACTCTCTATGCCCATTCATTATAGCCAAGTGTATATCATACATCATGATTCCAATCTAGCACAATGGCTTATCAGTAGCTGTTCTGAGCTCTTTATCTTCTCATCCTAAAGATGAGAAGAAAAGTAAACCCTGAGGCTGGATGGTACCCCTTCCCTCTGCCAGGACAAACATCCACTCATCCCTCTGGCCTCTGAAAGTAAGTGAGCTCAGCAGGGGCTGCTTTGCCTACTGGTTGCTCTGCCGCCTCCCACCACTGCCACAAAGGGAGGATGTCTGGAGATGGTGGAGATGCAACAGAGGTGTGCTGAACATATTGATTGAGTATTGATACTGCCCCTACTACCCCTCATAACAGTCAACTACTAATGACCCAATGCGTAAACAAACCCCTCACTCTTCCCAAATTAGTGGTACTTTGTCACTTATTATACAATGGGAAGAGAATAAAAGCCATGCTGATACTGTCATCACTGTAACTGTTGTTACACTGGGTGATTACTTCTCCATGTGCCATCAAGCCTGGCTCACCTGCAGGAGTCATTTGATCCATTGGTGTCCTCCTCAATTACTGTGGCTCCTGGGAGATCTCCATAGAGTTCTTCTTCCTCCTCCATCTCTTTGTAAGTGTTGACAACTGCTTTTTCTCTGCTAGGATCAACTGTGCTTTCCACTTCCATGAAGTAAACAGCCAAGACAACAAGACCAAGTATCAAAATTGCCCCTAAGATTTGAAACTAGAATAGAACGCAAATAGGATAAAATTTAAGTGATCACCAAGTCACTGATACACCAGCTAATGTATGACTACCTGTTACAGGTAACTCACAATCTTTGAATAGTAGTTCTGCTTTCAGCTACTGGCAGACAGCACTCTTAGATACACCACTGAAAATGTGGATCACAAGCTACAGAGTGGTTGGTTTATGTGAGAACTGAGATTTTAGTTTTGCTTTAATTTTTCCTGTGCCAACATACCGAAAAACTTGTTTTTTTTTCCAGAAAGTTGTGATTGATTTGACATTTATTGGCTTTATTTTAGCACAAGACAAATGAGTGTTCAACAAAAACTCACAAAAATCAAAAGAAGGAAATCCATAACACACCATCCAGAGCCAGGGCTGCAGGATTAGATTCCACATTACTCCCTCTCGGCAAGGTTTGATCAGTCTACTGGATAAATCAATGAGGGTTGCTGTGTCACTCACTTGTTTACAAAGAAGATCGAAACCTATATGGATTTCTAAAATGGGCAATAAAATCATTCCTCTTAATCTGTTACATCTTTTAAGAAATGCCAGTGTAATCTCAGCTCTTGTAAGCAAATGTAGTGTTTCCCAATAATTACCGTTTTGAAGTCTTTTTGATTGTTCACACTTAATTTCATGTTGGAAGACTCATTAAACATCAGGGATGTTTTTAATGCTTTTTTCACAATCTGAAAAACAGAAATGTATGCAAGGGGAAAAATAAAGCTTTATGGCAACATTTGTAAAAAGCCAGTTACAGACTAAAAATGCAGGTTACTGCCATTGCTTTATACAGCACTCTGACATTTAAGTACGGATCTGTGCAACATCCTCCCTGTATTATGGGTCTTGAGTGACATGAACAGATTCCAAAGGGAGAGGGAGAGACAGGTCCCTGTGCTTTTTCCGTGGTGCTGTCTACACACCAAAATCACTTCAGTGATAAATGTGTAAAGAACTGCATCTCTGCCTTTTCAAGTTATCCTTCAACACCCACTTTTGTCCTGTTGCAAGCTAAAATATTTGCCAGCAAGCAATAATTAAGTGCAGGAACTGTGAGTGGTAGCATACAATATCAATGTCATCCTGTGTGTGACTCCATTAGGCTCCTGCTCTCTTCCTATGCCTGTGAGTTATCTGCAATGCCAGCACCACATCCAGAAGGGACTTTGTTAAGGAGATGGAGACCAGCCCAAAATAGAAACTCTTCTTCACCCCTGTTGCAGTCGTGACCCTAGAATATAAGTTAACTTCTTTTCCTCCTCAGACAATTTTGCTCCAATCTTGTGTTATCACCAGCAGAGGTAACCCCAAAACAAAGTACCAAAATATGGCAAAACTCAAAGCAGTTGCTAGGTAAGGGGTAGGTGGCCACTTCTTTGCCTTCTCAAAAGGTCAAACCAAGAACTTCACACATGCCCAATAGATCATGAATTATCCCTGCATTAGCAGAGGTGAATTTACCCCATAGGAGTCAGCTGTCATTTAGAAACATAGGCTCATAGAAAGGTTAGGGTTGGAAAGAAACTTAAGACCATCTAGTTCCAACCCCCCTGCCATGGGCAGGGACATCTTCTACTAGACCTGGACATTTTTCATGCTTAGAAGCAAGAAGCACATCCTGGGATATGGTAGATTTCAAAAAGTGCTAGCAGATGCTATCACCGTCTGCCCAGTTCCAATCCAGCACTTCCTATCCCTGAGCCACTGGGCATTTGTAGCCAGGAAGGTAAATATGCTGTCATGGTATCAGATATGCAGTTGCTCTGTGGCAACAGAGCATATGTAGTGGGTGGCCAAACTCAAACAAGTTTTAGGTAGGAAGGATCCTGCCAGGCTTGTCCCATCCATCTTGCCCTATGCTCACAGCTATTGTCACCTGAATTGGATGGGCTCATGGTGTCTGCCTTCTCAGATGCATAAGGCAGTATGGCCACACATGTCCATGGTGCATCCAACTCCTGCCTACTCCACCTTTCTGTACAGCTGCTGTGACCACATGGAACAAGCAGGAGTTGGACACTGCAGTGATGTAACTCCAAAGGCTTCTTATGGGACCTAACTCACAAGAACTAGTATGATTGAACTGAAGAGGTGGAGGATGTCTTGGGAGACAAGGGAGGTGGGTCTGAAACAATGACTTGGGGAGCACAGGGTGTCCTGGGTTCAGCAGTAGCAGTCATGTTTCTCCTTCGTGGTAGCTGGTGCAGTGCTGTGTTTTGACTTGAGCCTGGAAACAGTGCTGATTTGAAAAGAGAGGACCCAAGGTAAAAGAGCAGGCAAGGGAGAATAAGAAAGTTAAGAGGAAATAAGAGAGGAAAAAGCAAAGGTATGAACAAGCATGCTAAAAAGCATGCTAGAGCTTCAGAGATGAAAGCTAAGTTTCTGTTCCAGAGCCTGTTTGTTGTTATTATTAGCTGCAATCACCACAGCGGTACCTTCTGTCTAAGGCAGTTTTACTCACACTTTTCACTAGTGCTTCTTTTGCTGCCCTCAAATTCAGGTGCAAGCTTTTACACTAGAAATAGTTATAAACACTGGCAGTGAAATACCTGCTCTCCCAGGCCTGGAGGAACTGAGCTGCTGCCAACAGTGATAGACAGTGAGCCATTCCCTGGTGCATATCAGGTCCCCATGCCCCTGAAGTCCCAGCTCATGTTTTAAGCACAGCACAAAGATGCAGCATCTTACCCCCAGGAGCTTACAGCCCAAGCAGAGAGGAGGAATATAACACACACCAAGCAGAGAAAGCTGTGTGACAGCAGCACACATCATTCCCCCATCTTGAGAGGAAGCGGTCAAATACCAACCCAGAAAATGTAGTGGGAAGAAAAGGAAGAAAGAGCAAGAGAGAAGATGCTGAGGAGTTTGTAGGAAACTGAAGCGAAGGGATTTCAAAGGAGGAGGAGAAATGCAGCTGAAAAACAGCAGCAGCAGCCCTTCAGCCTTGGCCAGGAGCACCCAGTAAGGCTGCAGGTCACACTCCACATCTCACAGCTTTGGCAGCAGCCGTTCCCACCAGTTCTCATCACAGAACCAGAACCTGAGAGGTGTCACCTTGTCCCTCTGGCCCCCAAAGCTAAAGTGCTCCCCACAGTACAATGAAGTGACCCAAGCACGATCTTGGTAAGGAACTGCAGCTGCAAGGGCATTTACAGCCATTTGATGGCTTCAGAAGGAAGGAGCTTCTGAGAAACAAATTGTTTCAGTTCTCTTTTCCAGCAACAGTTACAAAATGGCTTTGAAAAGCAGCAGCTCTCATAAAAATATGAAGGCAAACAGATTTCATATGTGCCACAATCATAGAATCATGTACCATTTGGGTCAAAGTGCTTCTTGGGGTCTTTGACTGCTAATGGGTTAGATTCCCAGCTGCCTTACAGAAGTCATGAGAACTGCACTAAAATATGAAGTTTAACTTTCAAGAAAGAAAACAGCACAGACTCAGGCAGAATGCTTAAGAATAATATTGTAGCTGGTCAGTAATTAACTGCTGCTTCCTCAAAGCTTTCAGAGCTTTACCAGCTGCCAATTTCAATGACTAAAGTTTATCCAAGAGCAATAAATACAACTACTGCTTAGTGTTTCTTCACAGTCTGGAACACAAGCTAATACCACAATCTGCTGAGAGCACACAAGAGACTTGTTTATAACATTAAAGCTGGTCTCTCCCTGCCCCCTAAATAACTTTTGGTACTTCTTTTCTCCATCAGCATCAACCTGTTTCACATGTTGGATTTCAAACACAAGGATGAGACTTTTCATTATACAAAACCATCCCCAAGAAGCTGTTTGAGGCTCCTCAGATGAACAAAGTGCTCTCAGATGAACCCCCAGTACTCTCAAGATGATGGCAAATGTACTTACCATCCTGCAAGTCTTCCTCCTGTGTGGATCTCCTACCGCAGTCTGATGTTACTCCAACTTTGCTTACAAGAAGCAGCACACATGCTTTTCACTAGCAGATTTATTTGGGGCTCTTCTGGTTTTTCCTCTTCCTGCTGCAGATACTTCCTCTTAAACATGGAGTTTCACAACAGGCACTGACAACTGAGAGTCCCAAGTTATCACAGAATCACAGAATCATAGAACAGTTAGGGTTGGAAAGGACCTTAAGATCATCTAGTTCCAACCTCCCTGCCATGGGCAGGGACACCTCACACTAAACCATGTCACCCAAGGCTCTGGCCAACCTGGTCTTGAACACCGCCAGGGATGGAGCATTCACAACCTCCTTGGGCAACCCATTCCAGTGCCTCACCACCCTCACAGTAAAGAGCTTCTTCCTTATATCCAATCTAAACTTCCCCTGTTTAAGTTTTAACCTGTTACCCCTTGTCCTATCACTACAGTCCCTAATGAAGAGTCCCTCCCCAGCACCCCTATAGCCCCCCTTCAGATACTGGAAGGCTGCTATGAGGTCTCCACGCAGCCTTCTCTTCTCCAGGCTGAACAGCCCCAACTTTCTCAGCCTGTCTTCATACGGGAGGTGCTCCAGTCCCCTGATCATCCTCGTGGCCCTCCTCTGGACTTGTTCCAACAGTTCCATGTCCTTTTATGTTGAGGACACCAGAAATGTACACAGTACTCCAAGTGAGGTTGTTCATCTAATCATCTAGTTGTTGTGATCCAGGTCTTAAGCTCCAGGTCCTGATCTTCACCTCTCTGATGTAACTTTGTGACCTGGTCCAAACTCAGTTGAATGGCTAAGCTCCCACTGCCCCCAGTGGTGTAAGATCAGTCTAGATCAGCACTAGAAGACACTGCTTGAAAGGACTGCTCAGATTTGATGCAGTTTGCATCCCAGACATGGCACTATTCTCACTGCTTCATTCTTAGACCACCAGAAGCTTGATTTTAAACAAACAGACAAACCAACCCTCCAAACCCATCTTCCTACCCAGTTCCTCTTGCAAGCACTCTCCTACCTAGTCATCCTTGGACAAACATAAGGGAGCAAACTACCTCTGCCGAAATAATACAGCTTTTGTCTTAAACAAATGGTGTTTGGAATTTGTAGTGACATTGCTGAGGGGGAAGTTAAATGCAATGTTGAGTTTGAGGCAGTTTCTAAGAATTATGTCTTCGGAAAAAATCCAAAGGCTACACTTCAGCCAATGCAACCCAATATGGCAATGCTGTTGTTAATTCTCCAAGCAGTCCCTCCACCCTATTGAATCAAAGGGTGCAGTTCCCTAGTCCAGTACCTGAGGAAGCCTGCTCTAAGGGGGAGAAAACATGGAGAGAAACCTGAGGACTAATAATGTTCACAAGCTTTATCATACTTTATCTTAAGCTGCTTAAGATGGAAAAGTTAAAAGGAGCCAGAGGGTAAGTCAGGTCTGGCAGAAAGAGGCCTTTCTCTGGAAGCTGAATGTGTCATGAATCCTCTGCTTCCCTTGGGGCTAAACCCCCCATTTTTAAAAAGGGGAAAAAAGGAACCAAGGAACACCAAGGCAGGGGGTGCAGAACTAGAAGATCTTTAAGGTCCCTTCAATGCAAACCATTGTATGATTCTATGAAAACACAAGCAGTAACTCAAATGTCAAAAGTGAAAGAAAAGAAGATGGTGGAGCAGGATGCCTGTCTGACCAGCCCCCTCTCTCCTGAATTTACTGCTGTGCACAGATCACCAATCACTGGGGCCATCCCAAATCTCTATTAAAACAGAGCTTAAAAACAAGGCAAAGGCTCCTGCCATCCTTCTAGACTCCAGTTACCAGAAAGCTGAAGGCAGGATCCTGCTTCACTAAGGCTTCCTTTGCAGGCAGAAATAAAAAAGCAATTCTGGTGAGCCACCATGCTAAAGGCTCAGATCGCCTCTGGGAAGTGTCCCTGTCCCTCCGCTGACTTCAGAGGCAGAGCATCCAAACTAAGTACTGCAGCTAAACACCTCATGTCAGGAAGCTTAACAAGAAGCCTTGTTGCTCTGTTTATGCATGGGACTGAAATCCTGGCATGCACTATGCTGACATAAATCACAAAAGCTTTCACTGATGCAGCGAGTTCAGGCTTGTACCACACAAGCAGTAGAACATTTATATGAAGTTCAGGACTTATCGTTTATTGCTTCAGTACCATAGTTTACCATCAGTTTATTTCAAACTGGGAGAGGCTGTGTTACACCAATGGGAAGAGCAGCTTCCAGAAAAAGGACCCATATTTCTCATTCTCCTTGGCAGCTCTCTAACCACTCACAGCACTGATTAATCTCATCATCTTCCCTCCTCCTCTCCAGCCTGCAAAACCCTGGTTTCCTTCTGCTTATCTGATCTCATTTACCAACCCAACATCAATGATGCATTTCTGACTCTGCTAGTAGTGCTGCAGCTTTGAGGGTTTAAGGATGGAAGCACTTTTGTGAGGAGAATATGATTTATTTGGCCAACCCATACAACTGGAGAGAGGAAAGAAAAAAAGACTGGCAAGTTTCACAGCAAAGAAGCAACCTTTTTTATTCCTCCTCTTCCCCGTCTCTCAGGCAAGGCTCCTTCTACCAGTTGCTCTGGCTGCCTTGCCACCACCCCATACAGGGAGTAAATACATCTCTCACTGTACGAATGGATGTCACTGTGATTAACTTACACCCTCTAAAAAGCATGCTTGGACTTCAGCTTGTTAGAAGAGTGCATTAAAAGATACAGTGAAAGATCTTTTAATCTGTCTCCCTGTGTGGGAGGTTTACTAAGAAGAAACTGCCAGTTTTAACACATTCTCATCTCCAAGGGCTAATAATAGAAAAAACCTCACGACCACTGCAGCCATTACTACAAATTTACATTTCCCATTTCATGAGGATGGGTGGTTGGGCTCCAAACACCAACAGTTACAGAAGGATGGGAGGCAGGAGTACTTAAAAAGAAAAATACTCTATGTATAATTTGTGCCAAAAGATTGTATACCCAAATGAGCTGGGGAGAAGTCATTTCAGGTCAAGAACTGGGAAGTGATTCAGCTGACAAGCCTAGAGAACATAAATAAAATCAAAATTATGATTCTTTTGTTTGGAAATATTTTAAAATATTTCCTCAATTTCCACTTGTTTAAAAAATCCAATAAATTCACTAAGGTATCTAGCCATGGACTTGAAACATTTAACTTGAAATATTTAACACTTACTTGGAATAATCTTGTCATCCTTAAAATGTATTTTGTTTCCAAAAAAAAAAATAATTTAAAAAATCAGTGATTTTCATAGCTCAAGTGATTGCAGAGAGGCCTTTGCTTCTCAGTCTTGTCACTCCTCTTGTCTGGCACTTGCCCTCCAGGCATAGGTTTCTTTTCCTGGTGCAGGTATTAGGAAAAGCATCATCTGTGCTGTCTGCCTTGAATGTATCTGGCTTCATACTACAAAAATTACACTCCAATTTGCAAAGTATCTGGCCACCCAGGCCAACCTGGCCTGATACCTGATCTTCACCTCCTGAAGAAGAGTTTTGTTGCTTACAGAGAGGTTACTTTGCCTGTGGTCGAGGTATGTTACCTTCCATCCTCTTGCTGTCATCCACTGTCTGCCAACCTCCCCAACAATCAGCAGCTGGGGGGAGATCCATTCCCTGAAAGAGACATACCCCCAAAGAAGTGACCTGCTGTATATATATGGCTACCGCTGTGCTAAAGCCACAGATCCTCTTGCTGAGACTGAATTTCACCTCTGTCTCTGGATCTTGTCTACATGTCCCCATGCGGATACCACATTATGGGTTTGGGTTCTTTTTATTACTGCCTGTGGCTCCTGTTGAGTTGTATGTAGACAGAGGCAGAAGTGTTACTGTTGAACAAATCTTTTCTGGTGCCAGTGCTTTTGGGCAGTACAGCGTTTTCAGTGGTTCCTGTTCAGAAGAGGGAAAGAAAGCTTAAGTAGGGTAGAGTCCTAGTGAGTACTAGTTTCTTAGGTTCATTTTTTTTGGCTTTCCTTGCTCAGCCCACATCATCAGGAGACCCAGGCAGCTTTTCTAGATAACCGCATCAGGTGTGCTCCTTTGTGCAGGTGCTCCAAGCTTCTGCAGGGCTGCATCCAAATGCTTGCGCCCCTGCTAAGGAAAGCAATCCACCACCCCAGCCAAAACTCCCACTGTGGCCCACACCAACCTCATTGCATCAGAAATAGGTGAGGGCAGAGGGTACCACAGCTTTGCTCTTCAGCAGTCCACAAATGCCAGTATTAAAAAAAGGCACGGTCCTCTCACACCATTGCACAGGCAGGAGGCAGTAGAGGAGGGTCTAGCGGTAAATCTTCACAGAATATCAAAAAATGAGAACCCGTCTCGCCAATGACTTAAAGTTTTGCTCCAAGGAAGGATCCTGCAAACCCTGCTCAAGGCAATTCTTTCTGGTGTTCCCTTTTATATACACGTGGAAACCCTGGCTCTATTTCCCCAAGCAGATGAGGAAGTTGAAAAGCCAGGCAGGACTGCAGCTGAACACTCAGTAGGAAGATGCACTTTTGCCACCTGTCCTTTGTTTTTTAAATCGTGCCAGCTTTCATTACACTGCGAGCAGTTTTGGACACAGTTCCACTGCCTCTTATATTTATTCGGTCCATTAAAAGTTAATGAAGTGGATGCACTATTGATTTTAAAAGCGCACTTCGCATAGCATCCTAACTCAAATACCACTCAGTGTGGCTGGAGAAGCCTGTGGAAAGGTAATATAGTTAGTGTGTGACTAGCCCTGAATGTTAGAGAACACAGAAAACCCCCTCTGCAGACACAGCATACACAAACTAAGCTTAAGCAAGCTTTCTGAGAGGAAGAATTTTTGTGTGTCTGTGCATGTTTTAGTTATTGCTGGCAAACAATGCAATAGTTTTATCAGCTACACATGTCCTGTATCAGCTTCTATGTCCTATAGAAGATGTGCTAATGCAGAGAACATGGAGGCAGAGTCCCAGACAGCACTGACCAGGATGGGGGAGGTTGCAGGTACACCTGAAGGCTTTGCAAAGGGGAAGAAGGAATTAATGTTATTTCAAAAGTACCAGGAAGGTCAGACAGAACTGCAGAAGGGAGGGAG